AAAGCTTGAAAAGAGGAAAGACACCGAGATAAACCAGCTGAAAGAGAGCGCCGAAGGAGCCGAAAAACGAGGCTACAAGAAGGCAGAGGATGTCTATGTCAAGCAGTGCGAAGCTGCCAAGGAGCTATTCTTCAAGTACGGCTGGAGGGGAGCCGTTGAGAAGCTCGGTCATGATCCACAGACCGAGGTTTTCAACCCTCTAGCCTACTTTATACCGAACTCCCTTATGGAGTATGCTAATGCCATGCAACAGGAGTTTCTTGAAGGCTCAGACACCGATGAAGACTCAGCCTCTGAGGATACTCCGGTTGTTAATGTAGATCAGGAAGTTCGGTCGGAGCCCATGGTGGAAGATCTATCTATTGAACAACCAGGTGAAACCGTGGTTCCGACCGAAACCACTCTTGCGACTGAAAACGAGCTTCCGCTAGAAACCGGTCTTCAAGTTGATGCCGACGCTGCCTTTGACGCCGAAATTGAAGATCTTTTTTCTTGATTTTTTCTCTTTGTTGTTACCTTTTCTTTGTAACTGGGCTATGCCCCTCTGTACTTGCTTTTCTAATGAATGAAAATTTTGTTTGGCTCTTATTCCGGTTTTGATGTGTGCTTGCACTTGTGATGTTTTCTATTGTTCCAACTGCCATTCCGGTTTTAATGGTCAAACCAAAAGTACATGTTTTGAGGCTTTGAATATTAAATTTGAACTCCAATTGCAATTTTGGAATTTCAGAATTTACGTAGTCCACTCGAGTGAGGAAAGTCTCGCTCGAGCGTAAAAATCGAGCTCCCAGAAGTTTTTCAAATTTTACAGTCTGCTCGAGCGACCAAAGTGGCGCTCGAGCGGAGACCCATTTTCAGCATATTTTGAAAAATTGCATTTAGTTCACATTTTTATTCTCATCTCTTTCCAAGGCATTCTAGACATGATTTATGACTCAATAAAGATTAATAAGCTACCAATCAACATAGATTAGTTAGTTGAAGAATAAATCATTGGTCTACTGGTAATTGTTTAAGAAGCCAAGTAAAAGAACAATCTATTTGGAAGAGAAGGGCTTAGTAATGAAAGAATATGTGAAATAAGAACTTGCCTTATTTGAATGAGAAAGAATCAGCGTAGTAGAACTTCGGACTATTTAGACGGAAAAAGACTAGAAAAGTCAAGTTTGATCAAGGAAGGTATTTCAATGTGTTTATGTTATGTGCTTGTGTAGGTCACGCGCCATTGTCTGCCTGGTTTATCTGATATGTCAAGTCTGTCTGATTTGCTTCTGCAGCTATCTGTGAGTAATAACTTAGTAAAGTTATGTTCAACTGTATTTATTTTATGTGTGATAAAATGAGATCTGTTTTCTGAAATGATATGTTCTGTACAATGAATGATTGTCCAATTTCTGATATCTATTCGTGACATCCTTAGTATCATGTGATATCTGTTAGCTGTTACCCAGTATCGGAGGTTCCTTTATGGAACTTAATCTATCAGCACTCTGTTACCCGTACCGGAGGCCCCGTCATGGGGGCTCAGCTTCTGTTCTGTTACCCGGATCCGGAGGTTTCTTTATGGAACTGGCTATTCGTAACCTCACGTGTATACGTTTTGTTTATTCCGTTTTGTTCTGTTCTGTTAATGCTAATGGATGTATCACGTATGCTTGCGCATGACTTATGATTTCTGTCTGTATATGATTTTGACAAATTATAAATTTGATATGAAACTGAATTATGATTTCTAAATTTGTACGGACTCATTCATTGAAACCCCTTTACTCTGTTATTGTTCACTGAGCTTTCGCTCACAGTTTATATTATGTATGTAGGTGAGCCGACACGTGATCAGGGCCAGAGTTGACAGCCTTCATTTCTATTTTTGTCAGCCACCCATTGTGCCTCCCGTGGAGGTTCCAGTTATGTCAAGTGATTGTTACTATGTGAATTAAAGTTTTAGCTTTGTTTTCTTGTTTGGTTAAACAAGTCTTGTGTATTTTATAAAAGAGGCTAAGTCCTTTTTGTCTGATCTGCAAATATATTATGACGTAAGGACGATATGTATATATGTATATAAAAAGTTTAAAATTTTTCTATCTCATATAAGTCTGCACAACTCAATGGACGTTGTATATTTGTTATTTGCTTCCGCTAGCCCCTAATATTATGTTAATCTGTCTCAGAGGCCTTCGGTAATCCCAGGATTACTGGTCGGTTACGATGTTAAACCTATAGGAGCAGGTTTGGGTCGTGACACCTCTGTAGAGTCCCCAAAGTTTTGCTTCCAGGCTTGTGCAATTTCCTAAATATCCATGGTAGCCCCACAGCCAAGTGCCTGTTTCATCCCTCAACAAACCTCCATACCCGGACTAACCTGGATTCCCTTTAGAGCTTCCATCTGTGTTCAGTTTTAGTTTCCCTGCAAAAGGAGCAGACCAATTAATTAGTCTTGGTTCTAAGTAATTAGGATGAAGGGGGTTTTGAAATGCTTCATGTATTTCTTTGGCCTGTTGAAGTATTCTTGTTGTACTGATTTGGGCAGGTCGAATATGCTTATCAAACACCTCTTTATTCCTATCTTTCCATATGGTCCATATGGCTCTTAAGAATGTTGTTGGCCATGGGATATCAGCCACTTTCCCTTTGTTTTTCAGGTTAGATTTTAGCCATTCAGCTAGTGACTTGCTGTCTTCTGTGATCCACCAATGGAGACCTTTCAGCTGGAGCCATATGGCTTTAACTTTGGGGCATCCTCTAAGCAAATGAATCATGTCCTCTCTATGAGTTTGGCATCTGTTGCAGAGATTAGAATCAGTAAGGTTTCTTGTAAATCTCATCTAGTTAGTAAGAAGTTTACCTTGCATGGCTAACCAAAGAAAGGTTTTAAGTTTTGGAGGAACTTTCATTTGCCAGATCCAGTGCCAATCAACTTCTACTTCATTTTGTTTTGTAAGAGCATTGTAGGCTACAGATGTAGAGAAGTTACCATTTATGGTTCCTTGCCAAGTTGGAGTGTCCATGTAAGTCACAAACCTTGGTCTGTATATACTAAGAATATTAGCCTTGTCCTGTTGTGAGATAAGGTGCTGGATTGAGGTCAGATCCCAATTCCCTTCTTTATCAAGAATGGAACTAACTGTTATGTTATAGTCAATATTAGAGCTTGGGTTAGTGTTACACAGAGGTTGGGAACCACACCACCAATTAGTCCAAAGTGCTATGTTCTCCCCATTCCCTACATTCCATTTGATAGTAGCCTCTAAGACCTCCCTGTTTTTAATTATACTCTTCCAAGTATGAGAAGTTTTTCTCTTTATGGGCTAGTTGGAAATAGAATGGTGATGGAGATATTTGGATTTAAGAACATCACACCAAAGGTTCTCAGCATTGCTAGCAATTTTCCAGCCTAGTTTAGAAAGTAAAGCAGAGTTCTGCTCTCTGATTTTCCTGATGCCCAAGCCACCCTGTTTCTTGCTTTTGCAACTTGATTCCAATTCACAAGATGGACTTTTCTGGCAGTGTCAGTACTGCCCCAAATGAAGTTTCTGTTTAAATTGTCAATTTTGTCACAAATATTTCTAGGAAGTTCCACAGTTTGCATAAGATGGTTAGAGATAGCTGAAGTAACTAATTTCACAAGAGTAATTCTTCCAGCCAGAGACAAAGTTCTAGCTTTCCAACCAGCCAACCCGTTGGTAAGTTTAGTAATGATGTCTTTAACATGGTTTCTGTTTAGTCTGCTATGAAGAAGAGGGGTACCTAAATACTTACCAAGATCATTAGTAAGAGGTATGCCACATTGGTAGCTAATGGGAAGAACCTCACTCCTGGGTAGGTTAAGGGAAACAAACAGTTTTGACTTATGAAGATTAATTCTCTGTCTAGAGATATCACAGAATTCAGTCAAAACTTTCATGATAGAATCACAGTTTCTTCTGTTGGCTTTAGCAAATAATATAAGGTCATCCGCCAAAAAAAGATGAGAGATAGGGGTGCTATGGTTGGCAGCCTTAAGACCTTTTCAAACTCCATTTATGGGTTTTTAGTCTAATCATGTTAGAAAGGTTCTCCATGCAAAGCACAAACAAGTATGGGTATAAGGGGTCCCCTTGTCTGAGACCCCTTTCCAATATTAATGCTAGGAAGACGCTCACCATTCCAAAGGATAGAAGAATTAACAGAAGTAACACAATTCATGATGAAATTAATCCAATCAGGGTTCAAGTTAAATTCCTTAAGTGTGTGGTGGATAAAATCCCAAGATATACGATCATAGGCTTTCTCAAGGTCAATTTTAAGCACCATACCACCAGATTTGCCTTTCTTATTTCTGAGGGTGTGAATAATTTCCTGAGTTATGATAATATTGTCCGTGGTAGTTCTACTAGGGATGAAACTACTCTGGTTGGGGCTAATGAGATCAGAAAGCAAAGGTCGAATCCTGTTGGTGATAAGCTTAGTGATGGTCTTGTAAGTCACATTACACAAGCTTATGGGCCTAAATTGCTTAATGTTTTCAGGGTTGTCCAGTTTTGGAATCAGAACAATTAGAGTTTCATTGATCTCTTTGGGAATGGTATTGGTAGAAAAACAATGTTTGACAAAATTACACACTGAGGGCCCACTATACTCCAATTTTGTTGATAAAAAATAGCTTGTAGGCCATCAAACCTAGGTGCTTTGAAGGCTTTTATGTTTTTCATGGCTAGCCAAATCTCATGATCAGATATGGGAGCTTGTAGGCTCATATTGTTCTCTCTAGCAAACCAAGTGTTATTAATATTCCTCTAATTATCCAGAATAATGCTCTCCCCTAGGTTAAATAACTCTCTAAAATGATGGAGTATATGATTTTTGATTTCATCAGAATTAACAAGCCAATGGCCATTATCATTCTTAAGCAAATTGATTTTCAATTTCCTATGCTTGTTAAAGGTGGAGATGTGGAAAAATTTGGTATTTTGGTCACCCAAGGTGATCCACTTGACTCTAGATTTTTGGAACCAAATAAGTTATTCCTGAAAAAGAGTGGAATTATATTGTTTGATGAGATCTTGTTCAAGCAGGAAAAGATTATGGGAATAGTTATGGGTTTGGAATTTTTGGATGCCTTCTATACGAGCTAGGAGAAATCTTTTACGTCTATAGACATTCCCAAAGACTTCCTTATTCCAAGTTTGCACATTACTGGTAAACTCTTTAATAGCTTCCATAAGACTAAAGTTCATATTAGCCCAAGAATTTAAGACAACATCAGAAAAATTCGGATGACAAAGCCATGCAGCTTCAAATCTAAAAGGCCTGTTTTTAGGATTAGAGGAGTGCATACCTTGGGTAAGAACCACCAAAGGAGAGTGGTCTGAGTAGGTGCGGGGTAGAGTCCTCACAGTGCCTTCTGGAAAAAGGGCTCTCCATTTGTCATTGCTCATGGTTCTGTCCAGTCGCTCCATTGTGTTAGCCAAGCCTTTCCTATTGTTAGTCTAGGAGAGTCTGGGGCCAACACTCCCGAGGTCAATAAGATTGCAATTGTTGATTCTCTCTACGAACTTTTGAGCTTTGCTATGGTTGTAGTTTAGAGCATAGCTTCTTCTTTCATTCTGGTTAGTGAAGTCATTAAAGTCCCCTGCAACTAGCCAAGGTTTCTCCATGGTTTTAGTAGTCTCTTCAAGGTTATCCCATAGCCCATCCCTTTGAGATGAGTTAGGGCTAGCATATACAGCTGATAAGATCCATTCCTCATAGTCCTCCTTATGTATGGTAGCTTGGATAACTTGATTGGTAGCATGAGATGTTTTGATGTTGACTTGGGCAGTGTTCCATAGTAGCCATATTCCTTCTGCTCCTCCTATAGGGTCCACTATGGTTGCAGTAGTGAACCCCAAATTATTGAAAAAATTGCCCATAGCACTGTAAGGGATTTTAGTTTCCATGAGTATGAGTATTGCTGGCTTGTGAGTGTTGAGAAGCTCCCTCATATTGCGTTTAAAGGCATTGTTGCCTGCCCCTTGGCAGTTCCAAAACATCATATTTAGAGAATTCATAACAGGGTAATCAGGGAGGGGGTCAGTAGCCAAACTTGTGAGGATGCTTCTGATCCTTCTATGATCTTGGTCCCTTGCTCTCATTGATGCCATTTGAACTAGGTGGGTTGATGGCTCCGCTCTGGATGACCAGTTTGGTTCTATTCTCAGCCGTAGCTGTTCGATCCACCATACCGTAGTGATGAGGTGAATTGCTTCTCTCCCTTGATCTAAAAATAGGCTCAGAGGGTGATTCTCTATCCTGTGTGTTAAGACCTCCGGCCGTGGGATCTCTTCGATCTCCATGAAGGATTCCTGGGTTAGGCGGTTTTCTGTGTTTGGGGGTTGAGAGTTCATCTCTGCTTCTAGGTAAGAGATCTAATAAAAGTGGGTGAGATGTTCGGTGTGAATGTGCTTCCTCAGATGATTCAGTGTAGACGTCCCCGAACGTCCCGGGAGGAATGAATCCCCCGTTTTGTTCATTGGGCTCACTACTGTTCGGACTCAAATTGTCACGGTTCTGAATCTAGTCTCGCAAAGTGCAATGTAAGACCGATAAATCACCAAAGAGTCCAAATCTGGCAAATCGTTTTGAAAAATTGATTTTTAGAAAGAAGTGCCAAACATGGACTACTTTGCCAGATACAAAGTCGCCACCTAAATATTTATTTTGAGGGAATTTAGGAAATCCTGACTCATTGCCTAAGGCCATGTGTCCGTCATCACTAAAGTTGCCTCGGCTCAGGAACTTGGGTACGATTGGGGAAGGTTAGCTATGAGCACCCCCGCTCGCCCGATCAAAGATCGGCCTCTACTAACCATGATATCGAGTTTTGAAAATATTATGTGCTCTTATTCCGATTATTAGCCTAGAATTACTATGTGATGCACACATCATACAAGTATAGATTGGATTGCCTAAGTTAGAACAAAGCATCACACATCCATTTGTTTTGAAAATGGATTCAATTTTGCTACTCGCAAGGAGGCTAAAACACGGGTTTCGACGAATTATTCCAACTCAAGCAACCTAACCTTCACCCATAGGCATTCAGGCAGTTATATCACATAAGCAGTTAGCCTCATGGCAAGCATGTTATCATGCTATCACTCACACTCATGCAAGATACTAAAGCGTAAAAGCTTACCTAGTACTCCGAGCCAAAACAGAAACTAGTTAGTAATCAAATGCATGATCCTAGTTCATGATAAGATGGCTAATGTAACACATGCAAAATGCAACTAGAAATAGGCTCGGCTATTCTAAGATGTCATGTGAAATGAAACTTGATACATGTATTCAAATAGGAATTGAAATACAATGCAGTTAGCATGATGCACCGAGCCCAGTGTGTGCAAAACAGATGAATGATGCGCGCATGCACAGCATAAGGATGCTAATTGAAATATGCCCTAAATCTAACCATCGTAAGCGGTTAAATAAAAGGGAGAAAGAAATGGGGTTGGAAGACATACACACACTCACGCACACTTATTACACAATTGCCCTCGCTCGGATGGTCCGAATAAATAATACAAACTGAATAAATAATTAACTACTCTAGCTAATTAAATATTACAAAACTTCTAATTAATTACAGGAGGAAGGTGGCCGCAGCCCCGCCTCGGAATGATGGGATGATGCATGCTTGATTTGTCTCGCCCGGAAACCCGTTGCCATGCCACAGTTGCCTCTGTTTACACTGCCCTGCACCTCTGAAGACTGCACAAGTCCCAAGGTTGGTTCTGGAACACTCCCTGAACACTGTGGGATGTCACCGGCCAAGAGAGATGGTCACCGGCTATGGAAAAGTGGTTATCGACCAGTTGTGAGGCTCTCAGCCAACAATGCATGGCCGGTCGGCACTGAATGTGGTCGGTCGGCCATTTCTTCCTGCAGAACCCTGTTTGTCAGCAGCAGAGGACAGACAAGGCATAACAATGCATTTCTAAAGCAAATGTTTGCATAACCACCCTCCCCATCATGTTATGGACTAAAGGGAGTATGGCCATCAGTCCTCAGGCCACCAATCACGCATTTCAATGCATTATGGCCCGAGAAGCCAAAGTGTGCAATTTCAATGTCAAATGAAATGCACACAAAACAAACAAGACGCCTCCAACCTCTATCATGGTTTGATCAAGAGGCAAGAGATGCATGATATGCTATGCAACCTAAGCATGAGAGCTAAGTATGCAACATGAACATGTGGACAAACATGCAAACATGTAAGCATGTGACAAATATTCAAACAATGAGCATGCAAGACATAATGCAACCAAAGCACGCAAACATGAAGCAATGTAACAACATTTTAGCAACATGAAAAAGATGGACTTAAACTAATATGGACAAGCCTCAGCCATGTCTAAATCAGTGGCCATATGAGATGAGAACAAGGCCCAAGATTCATGCAAACATGCACAATGCAAGGGCTCCAAGCCTAAGGCACAAAATGCAACTTTCCAAGATCAATGCAAGGATGAAACATGGCATACAATGGCATACATTCCAGCTCTGAAATGACATACTAAATGATTCCAAAATGACTCCGAAGCATGCAAACACTCATGCTATGCATGCTAGAAGGCTCAAACACCAAAGACTAGTGAAGTGCATTACACTATAGTCATGCAAAGCTATGTTCAAATGATGAAACCAACCCCAAACAGACCTTATGCAGCCCTAAAACAGTGGCAAAATGATATGAGATGGTGGCTCGAAATGCCTTTAAATAAAACTCATGCAAAGGCTCATAAATGGGGCATACAAGCATAACTCTCAAACATATTTAAAGCATGGAAAATAGGGGAGTATGACACAAGTATAAGCTCTGAAATATCATACACAATGATACTAAAACATGCAAACACCTCGATATAAGCATGCAATAAGCTTCAAAACTCAAAGCTAAGCATAGCTATTACACTACAAGCATGCATGGCAAGCCCCAATCGACCAAGAGGCCTAAAAATAGAGCTAAGGCAGCCCAAAATATGAACAAAACATGTTTGGAGTATGGCCAAAACATGCTAGAATGGAGAGCCAAAACAACATGCAACATAGGCTAGTCAGCATGGATTACACTACATGTATATGAAGCATTCAAGGGGCCACTAAACCAGCCAAAAATAAATTCATGGCATGCCAAAATATGACCAAATATCCACTGAAATGTGTCCAATACATGCTAGAATGAGGTGCTCCTTTGGAAGGCCATGCAAGGGGTTGTTCTACACATGCAAGAAGGACATCTAACACGGAAAAACCAACTCTGGAAAGGGGTTATGCAGGCCCTAAAACTCACTGAAAAAGGCCTGAAACATGCTCACGAAGTGTGCAAATATAGGCCCCTTTGGAAGGCCAAATATGCTAGTAAACAAGACAACAAAGGAGAGGATCACCCCTCTCCTTCTTAGGACCTCAAAACACCATCCCCACCACTGAAATCCAAGGATTTCAGTGGTGAGAGGTCCAATACAAGGTGGTCCCGAAGCTCACAAAAAAGGCACAAAAATGAGGCCAAACAAGGCCTAAGAGGGGGTAAACAACCCCAAATACAAAAGTGATCTTAAAAAAACTTCAAAATCATGCAAAAACAAAACTTTTATCAGTTATAAGTTAAGCTCAAAACAGCATGCAAGATAGGCTAAAAGTCTATGCAAAAATAGAGAATAAAGAGGGTGTTTCTCACCCTTGATGCACAGCTACAAAACCAGCAGGTTCTTGGACAAAAAACCAGTCCCTTAGCCTCTGAAAATGGCCTCCAAGATACTTAGGTTGATGATGGAGGTGTTAGGCTAAGAGTTGGTGTGCAAAGGGGCCAAGAACCAAGCAATTTGGAGCTCAAAATAGAGAGATATAGAGAGATGTATATTGTTTGCCTTAGCAAAATTTTTGGAACCCTTGCAATGGAAGAGGAGCTCTTCTTTTATAGAGGAACAAAGGTCCAAGCTTCTTGGAGAAGCTTGGAGTAAAGGGGCCAAGCTTCTCTTAGAAGTTTGTAGCAAAAGGGCCAAGCTTCTTGAGGAAGGTAGAGCAAAAGGGCCAAGCTTCCTCAAGAAGCTAAGCAAAGGGTTCAAGCTTCTCTAAGAAGCCAAAACAAAAAGGTCAACTTATTGGAGAGGCTAGAACAAAAGGGTCAATGCTTCTTGGAGAAACTAAAAAGGTTTAAGCTTCTTGAAGAAGCTAAAACAAAGGTTCAAAATGTTCAAGCTTCCTTAAGAAGCTAAAACCAAGGGTTCAAAAGGTTCAAACTTTCTCAAGAAGCTAAAACAATGGTTCAAAAGGTTCAAACCTCCTCAAGAAAAGGTCTGAGCCAGAAAAAGTGGCTGATTGATCAAAACAATGGCCGGCCGACCAAAAACATTACCGACCGGCCAACACCTTTGGTCGGTAGCAAGAAAACAGGGCCGATGGCCTCAAGCCATGGCCGGTGAGGTGTGGGGATGGCCAACAAGCCATTCCCAGCCCTCAGAGGCAAAAACCCAAGTGCTTGGTCCACAACCAAGCACAAAACAGATAAGTTAGGAGATCTTGAGGCAAGGAGCTGAGACCCCCGAGAACTCAAAATGAACACGAACATGGATGATCATCGAGTGTTCAAACGATGACGTCCAAGTCTTGAGGACGATCAAAAATGGGGTGTCTACATTCAGCCATAGATATTTCTGGGGTTTCAATTTTTTTTCCTAAAGGACTTAGGTTTGCAATCAGCTGAATACTAAGCTGTTGACTACAAGTTACCTGGGGCAGAGGGTCTTTATCTTCAGTTTCAATAGCTTTAGGCGGTAACTGCTCTGTTTGGCTATGTATTTGTTTTTTATTCATGTAGATTATGGTGGGTTGAGGGCTTGTTGATTGGCTGATTTGGTCTTGCTCGACCCAGCTTGGGTTTGAACATGTTGGTTTGATGCTTCTTTATCTAAGCCCAATCTTGTGGTTTCTTCCCTCTACCGTGGGCCTTATGTTATTGGATGCCTTTACCCAATTCTGTGAACCTATTTGTGTTTGGGCTTGACCCAGATGGTTGGGCCTTTCTATGAATTGTGACCTTCCGAGATCTTTTGGTGACCATCATCCAAGGTCCATATGTATCATCTTCTTTGTTTATTTGTTGCAGGTTACCGTTAGTGCCAGAGGTAGACGTTGTAGTTGTTGTAGTTTGATCCGTATTTCCTGTAACGGCTAGTGGTCGTTCCTCCTCCGGCGGCCTGTTCCAGTGATCCTCTTGTGATTTGTGGTTCGCCGCTTGATATTTGCACAGTTCTTTGCGACGATCAACCCTGCCACAGTGAAAGCAGAATGAGTGGATGGATTCATACTCTATATTATAACTTTTATTGCCTAATATGAATCTAGGGCATAATGGTTTGCTTAGATCCACTTTAATGCACACCCGAGCAAAGCGACCTCTGGTAGCCATGGCGGTGGTCATATCAATTTTAAGGGGTTTTCCAATCTGTCTGGCTATTGCATAGAGCACCTTCTCTTGAAAATATTCTATCAGAAGCTCCAGAAACCTGACCCACACAGCGGTAGAGGTTTCAAAGGCTTCCGACGCCTTAAAGTCAGGCTCCCATTTGCGCACTGTTAGGTAGTGATCCATAATTATCCACAATCCTCCTGAAAAACTTTAGCACAATCATCCAAGGAGGAGAATTTGAATACGAAGTAATTGTTGCCTAGATCTATGGCAGTGAATTCATCTTGTAGGCCCCATAATATTTTTACTCTTGTGCAGAGCAGTCCAATGCTTTTACCTAGAAGTCGAACTATAAGAGTATTAGACCAAGGTTTGCGAATCTGCTCCAGCAATTTCTTAGGGAGTTGTATCTGTGGAATACCCAGTTGGGTCTGGGGAATATTTCCTTCATGGATATGGGTGTTACCCTCATCATCTTCCTCATCGATCGAAATTAGATCCATGGTCTCATCAAAATAGAAATCATTATTTTTGGGGGCGGCTAGAGCTTCGTTAAACGGTTTTAACTTTTGTCCCTCCGTTATCAGAGGATGGGTTGCAGTGGCTTGCGATTCATGCTCGATTGCTTGGTGAGAGGACAAGCTATGGATTTCAGCAATATCCATGCTTGCGTCACCTGAATCTTCTTGACTTTTGATCTTTTTAATGCTTCTTACCAGATGATCTTCTTCTTCTTGGGATTTCGTAACTGGGTCTGCGTTGCAATTCTTTGGGTCACTCATTATAGAGAGAGTGAAAGCTACCCAACTTAAATCTTGTATGATGCAAATGTCCGATGTGATAAAGTTAGGATTATGATTAAGATTTGAAAGTTAAAGCTATTATAATGATTAAATGGTGTGAATTTAGCCAAAAATCAAAATATACGTGTGAACTTATGGTAGATCTAGTTGTACACAACCATTCCCCTTAATTTACGTCATTCGTTATTTTTTTTAATTACAATTATATCCCTCAATCAAATTACTTGTACAAAACTCAAAAATATATATCTTATTGCACATCATTATACAATATTAGCTATTGCCCCCCGCCTCAACCCATTTTCACTTCCATTACCCTTTTTCCATTCGCATCGTCCATTCTCTCCCTTTTATCCTCAATTGTGCTTGCTTATTCTTTTTCTTATTATTTTGTAAGAGAAGGTTGTATTAAAAAAAAAAAAAAAGGGATGACAAGGAAGAGGGACGGAATTTCAGTAACGAGAGAAGGAATAAATTAATTATTTAAGTATTTTATTATACCTTAACAACAGTTCATAAAGGTATTATTAGCATGACTTAAATTGAAACTTTAGTTTTAATATTAGCATGACTTAACTTGAAACTTAGTTTTAAATTTTATTCAAACTTTACTTGTTTATTTATTTTTTATTTGTGCGTGTTCAGTGTAGAGTACACTTAAAAGAACAATCAGTATGTTTGATTTCAGTTTTTGAATTTAATTTTCAAAAAAATAAGTTTTTTATTTTCACTTTTTTTTGATTTAGTGAATATTTTTTAAATTTTAAATATTTTTTTTACTTTTTTAGATACATTTTACTTAGATGTATCTAAATAGTAAAATATTTATGAAAAAATATTTTAAAAAATTAATAAATACGCAACAATATAAAAAAATGTACTGAATTTTTATATTTTTTTCGTATCTTTTGGTATTGAATGTAATTTTTAAAGATTTTTTTTATAAATATTATATTTTTTAAGTGTATTTACATTATGTGTGTCTAAAATTTTTTTTAAAAAAATTGCTAAAAATATTAAAAGAATTTATTGAAAACATTAAAATACAAAAAATAAAAAAGTAAAATTTTCTGAAAACTATTTTCTCAAAACAAGAACCTAACAAGCTGATAATTTAATTGTATTTTTTTATTTTTTACAAAAATACCCCAAAAAATTAACATGTTGGTAATTGGTGGGCCTAGTTTGGGCCATGCGCCGAGGCGTCAATAAGACTTTTTTCAAACAGCCCAAACACAGATGCCCAACCAAACGGTCCCTTCACAAGCCGTGGATAGAAGCCGAAACTCTACTTCTTGTACTTTTAACATCATCGCCGCCGCAAGTTCTCCCACATTTCATCTCCACCTGGTTCAACACCAACCACCGATCCAAAATCCCAACCACCATACACAAAAATCGAAGCTCATCTCACTCTGGAGTCTCTACACACATCTCGGAAACTCGATCTGGTAATCCTAATCGAAAATTCATTCACATTTTTTCGAAAACTCTCCAATTAGATCTCTCCGATTGAGGTTTGTTTTAGCTATATATGTATATCTATTTGTTTGATTTGGTTTGTATGTGTTTGATTTGGTGTTTGTTGTGATTTAGGGATCTGAAAATGGAGATGGAGAGGGAGCTGGTGGAGTTGTTCGAAGCGGCGAAGAAGGCGGCGGACGCTGCGGCGATCGACGGAGCTGCGTCGGGAGGTCCGAAGGTGGATCGATGCATCGATGTGCTGAGCCAGCTCAAAAACTACCCGGTGACGTATGATGTTCTTGTGTCAACGCAGGTATCAAATCATTCATTTATTGTCCTGTCAAAGTTCTCTCCTTTTCGATCTTTATATCGTTCAGAATTAGGGCTCAATTTGTGATTTCTTGATTTTTTTTAGAAATTGTGCTGCTGGAGAATCTGATTTTTTTAGGAAATTTTATCATGTTTGGTTATTATTGACCTTCACATGTGAAACAGTGGAAAAAGTGTCTGTTTTTGTTGGAAGGAAGGTATAATTTTTCCATGTTTGGATTAAGTGATAGCATTGTTTCCCAATTTATCTCTTCACAAGTGAAATAGTGGAAAAGTGCCTGTTTTTTGTTGGAAGAAAGGAATAATTACTTTTGTGCGTATATGTGTGTGTATATTGTATTTTATGTAAATGAGATAACATATACATAAAGAGATATGCAATGATATACTTGTGAGTGCAATGTTGTTTGGATAACAAATGTCTTTAATTTTTTGTCAGCAAACACGAATTCTCTCCCATTTCTATGGAAATACTTATTTATTGTTTTTAAAACCAAATACATGTCATATTTACCAAACTTATGTTGTTTTAAACTTATTTCCCAAACTTATGTCGTTTTGTGAAGTCATTTAACTGGACATTAAAAAAATATTATACTAAATTATTTGAAGTCATGTTTTGAATGCACAACGTGAAATGCTGTTTGGATAATGAATGTTTTAAGGTGACATGCAATGTGATGAAAATGATACAGATTAAGGTTTTTTAGATTATGCTTTTATTACTCTCTTTAATTTTTTGTCAGCAAATATGAATTCTCTCCCGTTTCTAGGGAAATATTTATTTATTGTTTTTAAAACCAAATACATGTCATATTTACCAAAACTTATGTTGTTTTAAACTTATTTCCCAAACTTATGTCGTTTTGTGAAGTCATTTAACTGGGCGTTAAAAAAATGTTATACTAAATTATTTGAAGCCGTGTTTTGAATGCACAATGTGAAATGCTGTTTGGATAATGAATGTTTTAAGGCAACATGGAAATGTGATGAAAATGATATAGATGGAGTTTCCTTAGATTCTGCTTTTAGTATTCTTTTTAACTTTTTGTCGACAAATATGAATTCTCTCCTGTCTTGCATCCATGGAAATATTTAGAGTTTTTTTTAACCAATTCCATATCATATTTAAGCCTTGTTTGTCATAACCTAAAAAGTCAACAAGTCAAAAAATTACTATCCTGTTTAAGTCACATCGTCTTATTTAAGTCACATCGCCTCTTTAGCACATCACTTCAAGCCCAACTCATACCCAACACATATTTCATAAAAAGTCAAAAAGTGCACTTATTTAGAATATTCAAAACAACCCCTTATCAAACTTATGTGGTTTTCTAAGAAGTACGGACACGACACGAACATGACACGGACATGTAAATTTTTAAAAAATACAGGACACGATAAGTTGGAAACACGTGCAACCATATAATTTTATAAATTTATTATATGTTATATTTTTAAATATTTAATATGTATTTTATGTTAAATATTTAATTTTATCAAATTTTTCAACCTTAGGTATGCTATTTTACTTAAAAAAATTAAAATTTTCAGTGTGTCCTTAGCGTGTCCCCAGCGTGTCTCTACATGTCCGACTCTTTGTAGTGTCTCCAACACGTGTCCACAGTGTGTTTGGCATGTGTCCATATCTGACACGTGTCGAACACTCGCACGTGACCTCTGGAGAGGTGTCCATGCTTCATAGGTTGTTTTAAACTTAATTCCCAAACTTATGTCGTTTTGTGAAGTCATTTAACAAGACTTTAAAAAAAATTTACAATAAATTATTTAAAGTCGTGTCTTGAAGCACGTCGTCATTGTACTTAATGCTGAAATATTGTTTGGATAACAAATGTTTTAAGGTGACACAAAGGCTGAGTATATGTGATGAAAATGATACCGATGGAGTTTCCTTTGATTCTGCTTTTTAGTATTTTCTTTAATTTTTTGTCAGCAAATACAAATCCTCTCCCTTTTGCAGGGAAATATTTAGAGTTTTTTTTTAACCAATTCCATGTTATATTTACCAAACTTATGTTGTTTTAAACTTATTTCCCAAACTTATGTCGTTTAGTGAAGCCATTTAAGAGGACGTTAAAAAAAACTACAATAAATTATTTAATGCCGTGTTTTGAATGCACAATGTCATTATACTTGTGAGTGAAATATTGTTTGGATAACTAATGTTTTAAGGTGACATGGAAACTGACTGAATACCTGTGATGAAAATGATATAGATGGTGTTTCCTTTGATTCTGCTTTTAGTATTGTCTTTAAATTTTTGTTGGCAAATATGAATTCTCTTCCGTTTGCAAGGAAATATTTGGAGTTTTTTTTTTAAAAAAAAATCCAAATCTATTTCATATTTTCCAAATTGTTGTTTTAATCTTATTTCCCAAACTTATGTCGTTTTGTGAAGTCATTTAACAAAACTTTAACGTAAATTTACAATAAATTATTTGAAGTCGTGTTTTGAATGCACAATGTCATTATACTTATGGGTGAAATATTGTTACGATTTTTGTTTGGGTTACGCAATTTGCTTCCTTTGTTTTTCTTATTTGTAGAGGATCCCTCATCCTCTTCTCTTTTTGATTATCAATAAAATTCTTTGTTGTTGATCAAAAAAAAAAAAAAAAAACTATTGTTTGGATAACGAATGTTTTAAGGTGACATGGAAACTAATACATGTGATGAAAATGATACAAATGGAGTTTCCTTAGATTCTGCTTTTAGTATTCTCTTTAATTTTTTGTCAGCAAATATGAATTCTGCCCCGTTTGCAGGGAAATATTTGTAGTTTTTTTTAAAAAAAACCAAAGCCATGTCATGTTTACCGGACTCATGTTGTTTTAAACTTATTTAAACTCATTTCCCAACTCATGTCATTTTAAGTCATTTAACAGGACTTCAAAAAAAAATTTATAATAAATTATTTGAAGTCGTGTTTTGAATGCATGTCATTATACTTGTGGGTGAAATGTTGTTTGGATAATGAATGTTTTAAGGTGACATGGGAACTGACTGAATGCATGTGATGAAAATGGTACAGATGGAGTTCCCTTGTATTATGCTTTTAGTATTCTCTCTTTTTTTTTTCTTTTTTTTTTTTCTGGGGCAAATATGAATTCTCTCTCGTTTGCATGGAAATATTTAAAGTTTTATTTATTTATTTTTATATTTTTAAAATTTTTTAAAACCAATTCCATGTCATGTTTACCAAACTCATGCTGTTTTAAACTTATTTCCCAAAATTATGTTGCTTTGTGAAGTCAGTTAACAGGACGTTAAAAAAACATTACAATAAATTATTTGAAGTCGTGTTTTGAATGCATGTCATTATACTTGTGGGTGAAATGTTGTTTGGATAATGAATGTTTTAAGGTGACATGGGAACTGACTGAATGCATGTGATGAAAATGGTACAGATGGAGTTCCCTTGTATTATGCTTTTAGTATTCTCTCTTTTTTTTTTCTTTTTTTTTTTTCTGGGGCAAATATGAATTCTCTCTCGTTTGCATGGAAATATTTAAAGTTTTATTTATTTATTTATTTATTTTTAAAATTTTTTAAAACCAATTCCATGTCATGTTTACCAAACTCATGCTGTTTTAAACTTATTTCCCAAAATTATGTTGCTTTGTGAAGTCAGTTAACAGGACGTTAAAAAAACATTACAATAAATTATTTGAAGTCGTGTTTTGAATGCACAACGTCATTGTAGTCGTGTTTAAAAACACAACTTTAGTGGTGAAGTCACTTTAAAAATAAAAAAGGACCTGCCTTTGTAATTATCTTTGAAATAGCTCGTTTTAAGTAAATAAGATTATAAGATTAACAAAGACATGCTTTTGGTAAAAAAATAAAAGAAAACTCTAATATTTAGTTTCTCTATTGCTATTGAAAATGTGCCTGCCCTTGTGGTCCCTCTGTTACATTGTACACGTGCTAATTGTTAAATTTTGCTTACTTTGTTATCAACTTTGGGGGCTTATTTTGTCTTTATTCAGAGGCAATATTGCTTTGCATGTACAGTAAGATGAATGGGGATGGGGAGTTTGGGCATGTATGTGTGTATATCTATACTATGTTACACGGACTCTTCAAAATAAATCAAATACCCGTATCGGACACCCGACACTCGGACAAGGGTATGGGATATGTGTCGGATACTTTTCAATAGATACTTCTTATATAATTGTATATAACACTATTATTATATGAACATATTGTTGTATAATTGTTGTAAGTGTCATTTTAACACTGTAAGTTACATATAGTATCATTTCATCTCACATACTAGATTAAAAATATGATATTTTTTTGCCGAGTCCGATCTCTAGATACATACCCGCACCCAACACCGGCACTCGAGTCCATGTGACATAGTATCTGTATATATAGAGAGGAGGTATGTATGAGAAGTGTAGGCCACTGGGTTTGGTGGCGGTGGTACTTGAGGCTGCAGTTGTTTTCATGAAGAGAGGTAGAAACCAGGTTTGGTCATTCAAGTAACTGGGGCTGTACGGATTTTGGAAATGTGATTTTGATTATAGGTTCAGTCAGTGATTCGGTGGCAGGCATGTTGCTGTGCTTACCTAATCATGCTTGCCTGACAAAATATAAATCAAGAGAGAAAGAAAGAAATTGAGGAAACATAATGATGGGAAATTTTCTGGCTTGTTATGCATGGAACCAACTGAAACTTTTGCTTAATTATATGTTCAAGAACTGTATAAATAATTCTCTATTTCTTACACAACATGGTAATGCATGGTGATTGCTGATGAAAGCACTTGCTTACGTTTCTCTTTCTAGTTATTATTATTTGACTATAAGATCTAAACCCATTATAATGAAAAAGTGGGAGATTGTCTAGGCTGGTTGGTTGGTCTGCTCAAGGATTGGCTGTTGACTTGGTGAATTAATTAAGAATTTTAACATGTTTATATCATCTATATTTAGATCTTTATTTTTTTGTTGGATTTTTCATGTGATGTCAAATTTCAGGTTGCAAAACGGCTTCGACATCTAACAAAACATCCTGCAGAGCAGATTCAGACAAAAGTTTCTGATGTGCTCGACATTTGGAAAAAGATAATCATTAATGAAGCATCTAGAAAGAAAAATGATGGCTCCGATATTAAAAGTTCAAAAAAGACTGAGGTTACAGAGACAAAGTCTGTCAAAGTTCAAGAGGTTCGTAAACCTGGAAGCTTTTCAAGATCAGAGTCTATCAAAGTTGAGAAGAAAGTGGGGGCTGTGGATACTGTCAAGGCGGGGAAGATACCGAAGGAAGAGAAACACGTAGTTTCAAAAACAGAAACTATCAAGGTTGAGAAGAAAGTTGGGACTGTGGATAAGGCTGAGAAGACTGATTGGAGCAATACTGTTAAGGTTGAAAAGATACCAAAGGAAGAGAAACCGGCTTCTAGCGCAAAGAAACCATCACAAGCATGTAATGCTCCCCCAAAGCTGAAATCATTGCTCAAATGTAACGATGCTGTGCGTGACAAACTTCGGGAACTTCTGTTAGAGGCCTTTGCCAAAGTTCCTGAGGAGGTCAATGAGGACATGAAGGATGACGTAGATGCATCTGACCCAATGCGAGTTGCTGTATCTGTAGAATCTGTCATGTTTGAGAAAATGGGTCGGTCTAATGGGGCCCAGAAGGTCAAATATAGGTCTATAATGTTTAACCTCAAGGATCCGAAAAACCCTGATTTGAGGAGAAGAGTGCTTCTTGGACAGGTCGAGCCAGAGAGGCTAATCAATATGACCCCAGAAGAAATGGCCAGTGATGAGAGGCAACGCGAGAATAAGCATATTAAAGAGAAAGCTTTATTTGATTGTGAGCGTGGCGGTGCACCAAAAGCCACAACTGATCAATTCAAGTGTGGTCGTTGTGGTAAACGTATGTGCACTTACTATCAACTACAGACTCGGAGTGCAGATGAACCAATGACAACATTCGTAACTTGTGTAAACTGTAACAACCATTGGAAGTTTTGTTAGAATGATTTCCAGTCGAATGGCTATTCACTATTCACGTGGAATGGTGAATATTCTCGAGCAAGGTTCTGCAGTTGTTCTGATCTTTTCCTATTCCAGAGACAACCCATCCATGGATATGTATTTCTTCCAGGGGTCATTTATTGTAGGGGATACCTCACCTATGGTGGTGAAGCGTTTAGATTTGGAGATTATGCCGAATCCTAGGTAAGGCACATTTTTCAATTAATAGACATTAGATTTTCGTTCACTTAGTTTTTCTATTTTTATGTTTGCTTGTACCGGTTGTGAAGAACTAACATTATGCCAAGTCCATAAAATGTTTTTAAAATTGGAAGACAAATTTTAACTTTTTCAGTCTGTCTATATGCACATGCTTGTTTTAAAACTTCTTTTGTTTTCACTTACATGAGCGAGTTGTGGATATGAAATTTATTCACATTTTTTTGGCCTTGCATTCCAACCTTTTATGTTCTAATTATTTGCGATAATTGCTTTATTTAGATTGTTGATGTTGATGATACATCACTTTTAAACCTTGAACCTTGTCTAAGTTGCTTTGTATGGGTGCATGTCAATTGCCTTGTTGGGATGAACATATCTAGGAAAAAATTGGTTTACAGGAATAAGCATTAAGGTGTCAATGGTCATCATTTTTATGGCTTGGAATTTTTTAACATCCGGGCGAAGAAGGGGTAGTCCAAATGCATAGGCGCTCGTCATTGCTGGAGAGGGTTAAATGTAGGCATTGTGCACAAGTTGTTTACGTCATTGCTGGATCGGGAGAGGGTTAAATGTAGGCATTGTGCATAAGTTGTTTACATGATTTGAATCGTGACAATCATATACTGTGTGGAGTTGTTTCTGGGGCGAGCTGTCTGAAGTTGTTTACACAGTTCATGATTTGAAATTGTAATGTTTAGGTGGCTGTAATGGAGCAACTTTACTTGTTTAAAATTGTTTACAGTTGTGACAGTGCAAGATAATTCTCTTATGGGGAGAGTTTGTTTCATGGGATTGACACCATGTTTAATAGATTTATTAGTCCATTGTTTGGTTATAGAAGTAAAGATCAAACTAATAATCAAATTCATATTATTTTCTCTGTCTCTATCCAGCCCGTCCAAATAAACACCTTATTAGAAATGGCAACGGGATGGGGCTGGGCTGGAGATTACACTCTCCATCCCAATCCCCAAATGTAAAAAACTCCCCGTCTCTACCCTTGATCCCCGGTGGGAAACCCGAGAAACCCATCACCACCTCGCTCTCGACCCCTAACAGTGGTTGGGTTTCCTCAAACCCGAAAAATTCCCGACCTTTTTATTTATTTTTTTTGAGGCAGAGGGAAGAACAAAGATCTACTATAACAACAACAACAGAGATGACTGGAGATCTACTACAACAACAGAGGTCTACAACAACAACAACAACGGCAAATCTGATTGGAGAAATAACCAGAGATGAACCAGACAGCGGCAATGAAGAGATCGGCAAAGGCGAGTTTGGTGTCGGTGGAGTCTTCTTCACGGCGTCCCATCAATCTGAGATCGGTGGTGATGGGAAGAGGGAGAGGAGGACAATGGGATTAAGCTTTGAGGGTGGGTCAGTTGAGGGTTTAGAAGATTGAGAGAGAGAGAGAGAGAGAGAGAGATATAGATAGGTGTGTGTGTGTATGTATGAGAGAGGTCTCAGCTCAGAAGATTGAGATAGATAGATATAATAAACCAAAGCCTAAACATATATATATCATTGGGGCGAGGCCGGGGGGCAGGGGCACATATCACTGTCCCTGGCCCGAAAATCATCGGGAATCTGTTTTTTAATACCAGTCCCGGTCCTATGGGGAGTAATTTTCGAGGAAAACCCAGCTTATTGGGATGAGACGGGATGGGTTCCCGTCAGGCCGGGTTCAAATTGCCATCCCAAAACTTGCTTAGTATTTTCAACATATTTTTTTGTGTTTTTTTGGGGGGTCTCTATGTGGAATTATGCCAATAGCTTTCTGAAACACTTCACTCGCGGCAGGAGCATCAGGGGTGTTTGGGAAGAAGCTTTTTTGGCTTAAATAACACTAAAAGACAAAATAGGCTAAAATAGTCAATAAGACAAAAGGTCACATCAAATCCATAATCATTTCACTTTTTCTCTAACAAAAATTACATCTAACTATAAAAAAATTCAACTAGCTTTCCAAATACAAAAATTTTAACTTCCTAAAATAGTTAAAAATTAAAATAGTTTACTAAAATAGTAACTTTTCAAACATCCACTACGAATGTTATAAAATTTAATTTTTTATGAACGTTTTGTTTGTTTCAGTAAAAAGCATTTTCTATGTTTTGTTGTGACTTTATAGTGGTGGTTATGCAATGGCGTTGATAAGATTTTAATTGGGGAAATGTTTTCTGCTGTACCAAATGCTAGAAAATATAAATAAATAAACATTTTCTGATAAATGTTTCCACATTTCCTTATAAATTTAAAACTGCTTTTCAAGAACAAGAGACACCAATAAGGTTGAACAGCTTGGGAATTTTTTCAAGAGCAGGGCAAAACAAACAGTTGTCATTATTATACGAGAAATACAACAGGATGTTATACTAACAATTTGAAAATGGAAAATTTTAATTTAACAAGAAAGTAAAATTTCATTTCTCTGTATGAATTTCTGAACTGGGACTTCTCACTGGGCTATTATCATCTTTAGATTCACTTCCCTCCTCCTCCTCGTTCATGTCCTGAATGAAGATGATTTTAAATAACATTTCAATCATTTCCAAAATTTAAAATTAATTTAGAAAAAAAATTAAAATTAAAAGACATTCATTATTGTCGTATAGTTTTGTCTTTGGATTAATTATACTAATAGTCCTCAAAATATACAACATTATGTTACATTTTCGTTTTCGCCGTTCAAAAAAAAAAAAAAAATGTTACATTTTCGTTTTCAATCTTTAATTTTTCATTTTTGTTTTCCAAAGTATGCTATAAGTTACACTTTAGTACATGTTGTTCAAAATGGAAATTCCATGATACATGTTACATATTTTTGTGGTGCATATTACGCTTTTTTTTTATTATTATTTTTATGGTAAATATTACATATTTTTTGGTAAAATTAAAAAAAAAAATGTGTAACATTACCTTAAAATATATTTGGATAAAATGACATGTAATACAAAATGCTTAACATCATTTCTGAATCACAAATTAATATAACTTTACCAAAAAATCACATAATATTTAGTATAAAAATGCGTAACAATGGTGTATATGGAAAAAAAATACATTTTTGAAACGTATTTTTGTGTTACATATTTTTCCCATAAAATTCTGAGAATTCTTTTCCACCTTTTATTGATTTTGAACAGATTGATATCGTGCATATTTTGAGAACCAAGGTAGAATAATTAAATATTGACAATTAAGGTGTAATGGAACGTATACATTGGAGAGAATTTATGTAATAAACCGTTTTTCGGAAAGATTTTTAAAAATTTTAAAATATTATTTTGGTATTTATTTTTGTGAATCAAATTTTTATTTTTTGAAGAAAAAAAATGATAAAAATTCAACCAAAGAAAATGATTTTGAATAGCGTTTGTACTTGCCTGTGATTGGTCTTCCTTGATCGCCCAGTTCTGTTGCTTCTGTCTCAGAGATCGAAGCGGAGATATTCTCTGATTCAAATATTTCACCAAAGAAAATCAAAAAAATGTTAAAACAAGTCAACAAAAACTCAAATGAAACAGTATATCAAATAAATCAATCATTAATTCCCGTTTGGTAGCTGAGAAAATCGCAGGAAAATCAAGTAGCAAAAAACAAGAAGCTCAGTTCAGCAGAATTTGCATTTTCCGAGTAACCAAACAGACATTTTCTTACCATACACGAAGATTTGAGTTCCTTCAGCCGAAACAACCTATCGACCTCGATCTCAAGAAGCTTCTGGACCTCACCTCTGTTCACCATCTCCTTCAAATTCGTCTCCATCACCAAATCCCTCTGTCTCAGCATCTTCTCCGTCTTCTCTCTGTCCAATCTCAGCCGTTCGATCTTCTGGCGGATCGCGCTCAGCTCCTCCGCCAGGGACACATCGATTGACTCAATCTTCGCCGGAGCGGCGTTGACCAGATGAGGATTCTCCTTGTTCGAATCGTTTATCGGTGAGATCGGGATCCAATTCTGGTTCGACTTCTTAGGGTTTGATTGGTCGTTGTTGATCAGTCAGGCCGGGTTCAAATTGCCATCCCAAAGGTTTGCGGCCGCTTTTTGGCCGTTGGATCTGATCACCGGCGAGTGGAGATGGAGCTGTCAACATTCTACCCACAGAGAGAGAGAGAGAGAGATGATTGATGGGGTTTTGAATTTGAAAGGAGATAGGCGGCTAACGGCTACTATATATATATACATTAAAATAGGAAAATTACAATTTAGGCCATGTTTGGCAGGTTGTTTTGAGACTATTTTACTCACAAAAAGATAAAATAGGTTAAAATATCAACAAGATAAAATGTAACATTTAAACTATAATAATTTCATTTTTCTCTCATAAAAATAGGTTAAAATATCAACAAGATAAAATGTTATATTTAAACTATAATCATTTCATTTTTCTCTCATAAAAATTAAAAAAAGTTAAAAAATTCATTCAAAACGAGATTTTTTAGCCTAATCTAAAAAGTCAAAAAGCCAACCCACATTCCAAACAAAGGCTAAGAGTTTTGACAAAATAATTAAAAATTTTAATATTAATTTATCATTGATTTAAAATTATTTTTATTAGCTTACATTGAATTGTATTTGTCCTATTAAAAAATGAGATTTAACAGAATTCATAGTTTTTTCTTTTGATAATCAAGTATCTGATCACTTTACACATACCTCGACTAATTTCAATGACAATATGATTTGGGATATAGTCTTCGTGAGATTCTACTCTACGATCTATTTGTAAACTTTTTAGTTGCCTCTCTCGTAGTCCACATTCACTTAAGATATGAAGTTTATATATTGGAGTTGAATTTGAATATATTATTTTTGTTAAAATTTTTAATTTTTTTATTTATAATTACGTGAGAGACTTGGTGTTCTAGAGCAATGCTAGGTACTCATAAATCAAACTCAAACGGGATACTCAAAATTTGAAATGTTGGGATCAAATTCATTTTAGTTATGATCCACTAAATTTCAATTTTCAATCTACACAATTCACATTAGATTTTGGAAAGAAAAATGCATGAGAGCTCGAATTTTCAACGGCTCGAATGCCCCGAATGCCAAAACGACAAAACGACATCGTTTTGGCAAAATTTTTTTTTTCTCGTTTATATCTGAACACAGAGGGAAAAGGCGAGAGAGAGAGAGAGAGAGGAGGAGAGAAGAGAGACGGAAACACACAGAGAGAGGCGACGGTGACCGCAACGGTGACCTTGCGATTTAAGACTCTGTTTTTCCTCTTTTTTTTTTTTTTTTGGCTCTGAAGATGAAGATGATGTGTTGATAATGGTGATGTTGATGAAGATGTTGTTGTTGATGATGATGTGTTGATGAAGATTTTGTTGTTGATTTTGATTTTTTTTTTCCCTCCTAGTAAATCCAGATCTGAAGGTGAAGGAGAAAAAAAAAAATATTGGCTGATGATGATGTGGTGAAGATGATGTTGATGAAGATGTTGTTGATGATGATGATGTTTACCAGCGACCAGCTTCTTCTCTCCTCTTCTTCTTCTTCAGACAAACGAGAAGGAAAAAAAGAAGAAAAAAAAAAAATCCAAAATGACGTCGTTTTGGATTCGGGGCAAATTCGAGCTTGAAAATTTTGAACCCTGTAGCAGCTCTGTTTTGGAAATTATTCTGAGTTTAGTTTCTGTACAGAAAGCATTTCTTAAAAATTTGAGTACAATTCAATTAAGTGTCTTCATTTCTTTCTTAAAACTCAATTTACGAGACTTAAATTGAATTTGAGAAGTCGATAAAAAGTTAACTTTTTGATTTTTTAGTTTTTTTACACAAAAAGTCATAAAAAAGCCAGCCTTTTTAGTCAAAAAAGTCACCAAAAAATCAAAAAAGTCAAAAAATTAATTTTTTACTAACTTTTCAAAACACCACTCAATTTAACTTGTTTATTTAGGGTTGTCGATCTATCACATGCTCGCCCTAATAATTTGTTCTCTTAATTTTTAGCTGTCTATGGATTGATTATATATATATATATATTTTAAATTATGTAATTTTATTATATATTTTTTCAAATAAATGAACAAAGAGGGATATCTTATTTGGAAGAGGCTTCCTTCCATTAAACAAGAAGGTTTAGTTGAGGAGATTGTAAACTCATTTGGAGATGGTCTGAATCGTTCATCTTCTTGGATCAAAAAATATAGTGCCGTTTTGGGAACTAAAATAAAAAGTCACATTTTTGTCAAAATGTCCAAAAACACAAGTGGCAAAAACGCAACAAAATTGGTTTGGGAAGTGCCAAAAACGCAAGTATGAAATTACAAATTGGGACCTATGACAAAAAAATAAAAAAATAAATTTTTTATGTTGGGTAAGGATATTTTGATTATTTTAATTTGATTTGACACCATAAACAAATATTAAACTAAAAAGCCAAAAGCCAGCTTTTTACCAACTTTCTAAATCACTTTTTAAAAAGCTAAAAAAATTGGTAAAAAGCCAAAAGTCAACTTTTTACTAACTTCCCAAAACACTTCATAATTTCAAATTATATGTTCCTCTGTCTTATCATTTATAGTAATACAACCTAATTTTTAAAGTTAAAAGCTATTTTAAAAACAGATTGTATTATTGTAAATATGTTGTGCTGAATATTTTTCTGTCAATCTATGATAGCTGGGTGGGGAGCCATCTTTCAAAAGTATGATATCACTTTACAGTCCCGTTACAGAGCCCGAATAATTCATGTGTGGGTCAAAATTCAAAACGACGTCGTTTTGAGTTTTAAATTATTATTATTATTATTAATTTTTTTTCGCAGTAAGAAGAAGAAAGGAGAAGAACAAGAGAAGAAGAAGAAGAATAGCAGAACCAGAAGAAGAAAAGAAGAAGAAGAAAAGAGAAGAGGAACAAACCCAGCAAAACCCAGCAAAATCAAAACCCAAAACAAAAACAAACCCAGCAAAACCAGAGAGAGAGAGATCAAACCAAAATCCAAAATCCAAAATCAAACCCAAATCCAGATGATCAATCCATTGATTTCAGACGATTACCCTTTTCTTCTTTTTTTCTCTCTTTGAAGATGAACACACAGAGGGGAAAGAATCTGCAGATTTTTTTTGTTCTTGATGTGAAAGAATCTGTAGATTTTTTTTTTTGTTCTTGACGTTGATCAACAACATGAACATCTTCATCAACATCCATTTTGATGATGAACAAGATCTGTAGACCCAACGAGTTCAGAAAAATCTTATGTAATTTTATTATATATTTTTTCAAATAAATGAACAAAGAGGGATATCTTATTTGGAAGAGGCTTCCTTCCATTAAACAAGAAGGTATAGTTGAGGAGATTGCAAACTCATTTGGAGATGGTCTGAATCGTTCATCTTCTTGGATCAAAAAATATAGTGCCGTTTTGGGAACCAAAATAAAAAGTCACGCTTTTGTCAAAATGTCCAAAAACATAAGTGGCAAAAACGCAACAAAATTGATTTGGAAAGTGCCAAAAACGCAAGTGTGAAATTACAAATTGGGGTCTATGAGAAAAAAATAAAAAAATAAATTTCTTATGTTGGGTAAGGATATTTTGATCATTTTAATTTGATTTGAAACCATAAACAAATATTAAACTAAAAAGCCAAAAGTCAGCTTTTTATCAACTTCCCAAATCACTTTTTAAAAAGCTAAAAAGTATGGTAAAAAGTCAAAAACTAACTTTTTACCAACTTCTCAAAACACTCCATAATTTCAAATTATATGTTCCTCTGTCTTATCATTTATAGTAATACAACGTAATTTTTAAAGTTAAAAGCTATTTTAAAAACAGATTGTATTATTGTAAATATGTTGTGCTGAATATTTTTCTGTCAACCTATGATAGCTGGGTAGGGAGCCATCTTTCAAAAGTATGATATCACTTTAGGTACATTTCATAGTCAAGAAGAGCTTTATCTGAATGTTCTTGCTGCTCTATAGATAGCTAAAGCTGTGTAATAATCTAAAAATTCTTAAAGTAGCTTGAAGAATAAAGTAAAGGTTTTTGGTTTTCTTTGCTTTTGTTTGAACTGCAACTTCTTTTTAAATGACATGTCCATTTCAATGAAGAAAAATGATGTCCAAGGAGATGGAATTGAAAATTTTCTATAACAATTTTTCTTTAAAATACAGGGATTTTTTTTTTTTTTCCTCAATACAATGGTGATATCATCTCCAATAACATATTACTATACAAACATAGTTAACTTTACTATACACGTGAAAATTATCAGATTATTAGTTACAGTGACTATCTAATTACGTGCAAAGTTCAATGATTTGTCATATATATATAAGGGAGAAAAAGCTTAGGACCCTCATGAGCCTCAAATGTGTGTGATTAGTTTATGTGTGGTTTTGTTTTGTTTTTGTTTTTGTTTTTTTTTTCCCTCTCTCTCTCACATAGGATGATATAGGGGTTGTGGGGTTAGGTTTTTGTGAGGGTCTCAATCATTGTTCATATAAGGGTGTTAAACGAATCAAGTTACATGAATTCAACTCATATTTTACTTGTTAAAAACTTATTTCAGATTGACTCACCATGTAAATATATAAGGCAAGTGTGAACGCAATTTTAAACTCATTTTGTTTTTAATTCAAACTTGAATAATCTATTACTTGACTTAATAAGCTTATATATAAATTATAAAAAATTAAATTACTCGAATTTAACTCGTCATGTAAACAAACAAACTAACCTTAAACATAAATTCAAGGTCGTTAAATTATCAAATCAACCTTAAATAACTTACTAGTCGGTTGGTTTTTAGCCTTAGTCATATAGTGCGAGTGGTGGATGATAAATATTGCAAGTTGTTAGATAATAAGTAGTTGAATTTAATTCTTTCAAAATCAAAGTAAATGGGCCTATTAGCTCAGCTGGTTAGAGCGCCGTTCGTGCTAATAACGCGAAGGTCGCAGGTTCGAGACCTGCATGGGCCATTTCAAATATTTTTGCAACTTAAATTGTTCGAAGTTGCCCTAACTTCTATAATTCAGAGTGTAGCTTGGCCAAACAGGCTTTAAATTGCTCAAGTTGCCCTAACTTTTTTTGGGGCTATTTTAGTTCAAAAATCAATTTATCAAACATGACCATAAATTATCAATGTCTTAATAATTAGATTTAATAAAGTTAATTCTAATAAAGTCAAAACTAAAAAAAAAATTTTATGATGTTTTTTGTATATTGCTAAAAATTAACAATTAGTAACTTTTTTTTATCACAATTTTTATAAATTGCCTTTAAAACTTACCGTTAATGATTTTTTTCTGAAGAATTTTTCAAACTATGGCAAAAAGTTGAAAATTAGTAATTTTTTAATGACGATTTTGTTTAAACTATCGCTAAAACATATAATTAGTGATTTTTTTGACAATTTTCAAACTATTATTGAAAATTAGCAATTAGTGATGTTTTTTAATAATACTTGATGAAAAATACCATTAATTATCATAAATTCTATTGGACAATAAATTCACCTATTAGGATCTACACATAAATCCTTTTATTTATAATAAATTAAAAACATATAAGTTAAAAAAAGTGATTATCAAATAGCTGAATCAAAGAGCAATGCTGTCTACAATTTAATGATAATTGTTGATACCGACAATAATAAATAATGAAAGAAAAAGAAGTATCAATTATCAAAATAGAGCATGTCTAGATTCAATAGTACTTGTTTGGACCCAGCTGTATTTTCTTTGGTTTAATTGTATCAAGATCCTTTCAATTATTTGTGAATATCATTTTATTTTTTGTCTTAAAATTCATACATATTGACCCTTAATTATGAAAAACATACAAATACACTCCTTTTCCACCACGGTAGACGATCCCACCATGGTAGACGATCACTTTCAAACTCCAAAAGGAACATATTTGTACAATATTCATAATTAAGGGAATTAATACATATAAATTCATAGATGAGAAAAGTAAGATAATATTGATTAGTAGTTAAGGAACTCTTGTGTAAATAACTCGTATTCTTTTGTTGTAAGGTCACATAATTAAGGAAGTCTTTGTGTAAATAACTAATTTTCTTTTGTAGCAGGGTCACCTATATATGCTATTATTTACAGTTTCATACTTATTTGAGGAACTATTTTCAAAAATTATTTTCAGAATTTCTTTTAAAAACAATTTTAATTGTGTGATCACTGAGAAACCAAGCACAGAATGGCTCTAGACACTAAAACAATACCATCATTTAAGCTGTAAGTTTCCATTCTTTCATTGCTCAACAGCTTTGTTCATACATAGTCACTGTATAAATATTTACTTTCTGTATTTTCGCATATAATAATTCAAAGATCATCATGATTGAGAGCCGTCTCCAAATCCGAATGAATCTTCTTCTTACAACCCCAATGGCATCTCCAAGAACACAACGAATTGAAGCTCGTAAGCCTCCTAGACTGCAGAGATATGATATTTGAAGTTGCCAGAGATTTTGAAAGAACAATGGCGTACCCATCATCCATGTTATCAGTCCCTTCAGGAAACAACTGCCACAGAAGGCTTCCACCGCCACTCCCTCCTTTCTTGGTCGAGTTCAAGAGGCTGTTGTACACTGTGCTTATGAGGGTGTCCCTAAATGATGAATTGTAGCCGGGGTCTTTTGATGAGACGCCAAACTCGCCAAATATGACTGGCATGTTGAGGACGTTGTCAGCGTCGTCGATGTGGGCTTGCATCCATGACTTGATGAAAGGGATGTGGGCGTCAGTGATCGATTGTGAAACCCTTCATCAAAGATTTCATATTCTTAATTAATCATAGGCTTCCATACCCATTTTGAAAAGAAAAAAAAAGGACATTTAAATACAAATATGCACTTGCTGATGCACAAAGCCACATTCATGCAATAGTAATCAAGCCCTTAAACTAAATTTTTGCTTCATTAAACCCTCTAACTTCCTAAATTGGTTCAATGTAGCTCTTTTGCTACATTCAATCTACTTTTGGCCATTAAAATTAATCAAAATTTTTTTTTCCTACCATCAAAAAACAAAGGAAAAAGAAAAGGAGAACCAACACCCTTCCCTTCATCAGCATAGATTTCTGATGCTGTTAATGCATTTTTTTCTCTTTCTTTCATCAGCACAGATTTTTGAGGTTGTTAATGGATTTTTTATACCAGGAAAACAGATTTTAGTGTTAATTTTATCAATTTATGCTTTAAGTTGGGCCTATTCAACATAATTAATTGTCGAAAGTGGACGGAATATAACAGAAGGACTAAATTGAACAAATTTGAAAAATTTTAGGCTCTATTTGAAAAAAAAAATAGTTCGAGGGCTTAATCGAAAAAAAGGTGCAAAGTTTAGGGGTTCTAGTATAATTTACTCTACATGCACTAAAATCATGTAACATTCTAAAAAAATGAATCAGAATTCAGAATTAGAAATTTAAGGTTTCATTCTGGTACGAAGAATTTTCAATGAAAAATAATTACCAAGAGTCTGCATAAATGTGAACCGAAGCAAAATCAACACCAAGAACCTGGTGGTGCCTGACAAAGTCAGTTCCAACTTGTTGAGCATATGTGTTTGGGTTGAACTGAACCCTGTCAGGCGTCGAGGGACCATAAAATCCTTCCGACCCAATCTCCAACAAGTGCTTTGGATCGATGCTTTTCACAAAGACCGCCATTTCTTCTATCCATGCCTACAAAACAATTAGCGCTGTTGGTTCATGTTTCATTTTTCAACTCTGCGGAAATGAAAACAATGAAAAGTTTGAGAACACAATCATTTTCAAATCAAATTCTGTTTCTTATGAATCCAAAATTCTGAAAACTCTGAGAACTATCTAAGATAAATACTAAAAATGCTCAGGAAATTTTCTTGAAAACAGTTCCACCATATATGTTGTTTGTAAAGTGGTTTTCAAACGTGATACCAAACATTTACCTAATTTACTCGGACAATAATTGCTCTTAAGGTAATACATTTCCTAACCAGTACGAGCAAAAGATCTATAGTTTTTCACATTATGTAAAATCTGACTTTCTTGCGTACGAGTGTGGTTTAGTGCCTTTTTTTCATATTTTTTTAGCGTTTGGTATGATAGAAAACAAAAGTACATAGAAAACATTGATCAACGGAACACAAGCCTTTTTGGGCGAAAAAAGTTTCACTTTTAAAAAATGGAAAACATTTTCCGGACCAAACGCTATAAAAAAAAGGCTTGTGTTCACCACCGCCGCCACCGCCACCACAACACCACTAATACGATCACTAACACATTAGTTTCAAGTTGCAACCAAATATAAGAAAACATTTTCTATAAAAAAAATTCTGTAGATAACATATTCGGTAGAAACAAACGGAGTGCTAATGTAAAATCTGGGCTGGTAAAGGAAACAAACCTGCAGTTTAGCCCCAGAAGAATCTGAGGTACACCGTGGTTCATTCATTAGTTCCCACGCAAAAATTGTAGGATCATCCTTGTAAGTAATGTTGGTGATGGTATTCATTCTATTAAGCACTGTCTACACAAACAAAAAAATATTGGGAAAGGGAGTAACAAAATTAGACTTGATACCGAAAGCAGAAAGATTTTGATGATTCAACGTTTTCCACATGCTGTTCAAAAAAAAAAAAAAAAAACTACATACATTAAACACCATCTAAACAGTCAACAAAATATTGGCGGAGAGAGGGAGAACCAAAATTAGGTTTCACACTGAAAACATAAAGATTTTGATGATCTAGCTTTTTCCGCTTACATTAAGTACCGTCTACAAAGTGAAAATGATATAGTAGATAAAACATTGTCCAATGTCCATATCAAAATTAGACTTCGTACCAAAAATACAAAGATTTTGATGATCTATAGTTATTTCCACGTACATTAAACACCGTTTGCACAGTCAACAAAATATCAACCAAAATTAGATTTCATACTGAAAACACACTTTGATGATCTAACTTTTTCCATGTACATTAAGCACTGTCTACATGGTCAACAAAATATTGGGAGAGACGGAGAACCAAAACCATATTTCTACTGAAAACACACAGATTTTGATGAGCTAGCTTTTTTCACATACATTAAGCACCGTCTACACAGTCAACAAAATACTGGGAGAGATGGAGAACACTTCATTTGAAAAACACAGATTTTGATAATCTAGTTATTTCCACATACCAATACAGCAAGACCTGACTATTGCAAAGTTGCTACTCTTAACATGTCTGTGACAAACTTAAATTTTGAGGCCATATTAACTTTATTACTTAAAAAAACTGAAATATAATTATTAAATAGCTAAAAGCAGTAAAGGGCATGCCTTAACATGGGCCTTGTAGTAGCCTCTGAGAGTTGGATGAGAGAAGAAGTCATCATCCGAAGTCAAATTCAAGCCAGCAGCTTTACCCCATTTCACATATTGTGCTTTTCCACCATATGCATCCCAGTTGTTAGTTAATGACAATATCAGCCTTACCTTGTACTTCTTTGCTTCACTTACAACAAAATCCAAGGCCTGTAATTCATCGAAAAAGCAATCAAATGCCTACATTTACAGTTATTATTCATGAAGCCTTGAACATATTTATATATATTTAAACTCATTGCCCAAAGCCTAACAAGAAAATCATATCAAAATGCATACCAAAAATAAATCCCTTCTTAACACTTCCCTTTTACAAAGGCTGCCAATCGTAAAGTCAAATAAAAATCCTCCTTATCCAAAGGTTCTCAATAATTTAAGCTTAAAACAGCCTTCTTTGTCTAAAGGCCTAGTAAAAAACAAAATTTCATTTTCTGCATGCCCAAATAAAAAAACTTTCTTTGTCCAAAGGCCCCCAAGTATATAGGCTATGAATGATACTGAATTTCAATTATAAAAATTAATTTTACATTAAAAAGTTATAATATAAAGAAATTGAAAATATCATTTTAACATAAAAAGGTCTTCCATTCAAATTTCGTCTTAGGCCTCATTGAGTGGTGGGCTTTCCTTGTGTTGAACGTAGATAACTCCTAGCAGTTTACTATTTAAGCAAATCGGAAAACCAGCTTTCCGTGGGAAATTAGAAAACACCATATTTTGGAGGTTGAACGAGAAATCCAAAAAATCCCAAGCCCAATTGTTTGGTTGAGTTTTTAGAACTTGTTTTCCAATTTTTTTTGTTGAAAAATTAGAAATAGTTTGACAAAAATAAACAACAAAAAATATTTTTTGAATTTTCAAAAATTATGTCCACCCCAAAAACAGAAAAAAGAAGAAGAACATAATGAGTTTTTTTTAATTTTAATTTTTCAACAAACTAGTTTCAGAAAACAGACTCTGAATACTTGAAAAAGGCATCTAAAATACAAGTCATTTTCCTACAGTGGGCTGCTTTACTAGTGAGCACTCTATCAAAACCCATGATAAATCAATCTTCCACAGACACCAAAGATGAGACTCAACGTTACAGAAACATTGTTGAAACAGCACAAATTGAGAAACTAATATGAAATTTAGACAAAGGAATCACCTTGAAAACCTCTTCATCATAAACAGATGGCGATTTTTGAAGAGCTCGCCATTGGCCATCGTTGAAAGCCCAAGTACGACAAACAGTTAGACCCACAGAAGAAGCTTGCTGAAACACCTCAGTGACCTTTCCTCTAGTAGATTGATCCGCAGCAAATACCATCAACCAGTAAGTGTTGAATCCATTGACATAAAAAGGTTGATCATTAACCACGAATTGGCTCCCCTTTTTCTGCACCATGGTCCACTGATCATCTTCCATTGTGCCCAATTCACAAATCCTACACGCGAACAAAAACATCAGATCAATACAAACAAGAACATTTATGTTCCATGTATACATAAATACCAAGAAAATACATTAATCCTAAAAACAGTGAAATTTCTCATGAGTACCCATGATTCATGCTTTCATCTCCATTGACCCCAAAATCATTATAGCTCAAATTTGAGGTAAAAATCACAAGGACAGCAGCCCAAAAAAATATTTTAAATCCCAAGTTTTGATCATGGGTATCCATTCTTTTTGAGCAACAGCCACAATTCAAAATTTCCCTTCAACACTAGCATATATATATACATGGAGATATCTAAGTTTTCAGTTATGCTTGGCAGCAATTAATATTAAGATACACTCAAGAGAAGTGTTAATGAGGGAATAATGTCTCTACCTTGGAAGCAAAGAAAATTTTTATTTCTTTTCTCAGCAGTATTGTTAGCTGTCTCAAACAAAGATTACACAAATGGGAAAAAAAGAAAAAAAAAAGTAGTTGAAATGAAGTTTTCTCTTTTCTTCTTCTTCTCTCTCTCTTTTTTTTTTTTTTTTTTTTTTTTTTTTTTTTTTTTTCAGTAACTGAGAAAGGTGTAAGGATATTAATAAGGGACTCAATTGTTGAAAGCCACAGAAAAAAGAAAGGTCCCAATAAAGCGATGCACTAAGGCTGTGTTTGGGTTAAGAATTTGAGGAGTGAATTGAGGATGTGAAGGAAATAAGAAGGAAAAAGTGAATAAAATATAACATAAATTTGTCGCATTTCCCTTTCTTCCCTTTCTTTTATTTTCGCTCCGCAAATCCCTTTCTCAAATATTCCATCCAAACATAGCTTAAATATTTTAGAGTTAATTACACCAATGCCCCGCCCCCCAAAACAAAACTACTAGTAAATATGAGTTTATCACATTTATGTTTGAATCCGTACATTTTGACCACTTCAACCATAAAAATGCATCACTACCAAGGTTCTGAAAAGCGGTTGCGGTCGCCGTAACGGTAGCGATGACGCGGTTGCGGTTGTGGGGTGTAAAGGCCATAGTGTAACGGTTGCGGTAACCGGAACCGTGAATTTTTTTATTTTTTACATAATTTGAAAAAAACTTACCGATACGCATATTTTTTTTCTATGATCATATTTATTGGGTTAAAAATAAATATTGATCAATTTTTGTAAATTTTTAAGTATGATCCAATATATTTCATATTTTTAAATCACTATAAACTGAGTTTTTTATATTTTATTTTAATAATTAATGACTTTATATTATACAAAAAATCAATCACTAACTATTATATATAAGATAAACAATGACAAAAGTAAGAGAATAAATAAGAGCCTAAATATATATATATACATATTTTAACCAAGCCAAATAGATAATGACCACACTTATTATTATTATTATTATTTTCAAACAATATATAGATAGACACACACAAACAAAATGGTTTAGTGATAGCAGCTGAATAGAATAGGATAGGTCTTACAGTTTCAACAAAATCAATAACATATTCTTCATCTTCCCTTTTCTCTCTCTCTATCTTTTGCTCCTCCATATTTTCTCTTTATCTTCTCTCTTCTCTCTATCCCTCTTCCCCCATTTTCAATTTTTTTTAATGTGTTTTTTTGAAAGAAACAGTTTGGAACTGTTACGTAACGGTGTGTAACAGGCCGTTACGACTGTTACGACACCATTACGACCGCTACGGCAGCCGCTACAGCCAACACACTTGTGAATCTCAATCACACTGCAAAAACGGCCGTAACGGGTGGCGGTAACCGCCAAAACCGTTACGTAACGCCGTTACGTAACGGTTACGGCCGCTTTTTAAAACCTTGATCACTACCCTCAAGAAATGAATTATTTATATGATTTTATATTTGAAAGAATTAAAAAGATTAAACTAATATTCACCAATAATCAAAAAGGTCTTTGTTGTAATTAATTGAACCAATATTCTAATAATTCTTAAATTTAAGGATGTTTTCATTATCGAACTCTAGTTCAGATGTCATATTCACTCCATTTAAATGGACAAAAATCAAAGGAAGACTTTAATTACTACTACATATTATCTACCCGTCTATTGCAAGCATATATAGGTACTTGGCTTCAAAGCATAAAACCCACAAAATAAAAGTGCATTGTAAATACTCCATCCTGCAAAAAAAATAAAATAATAATAAACAAAAAATAAACTTTTCAAACGAAAATTACACTCTAGAGAGAGAGATAGATAGATAGATAGATAGAGAGAGAGAGAGGGGTTGTGAAAAACCCATCTTTGTCTTTCAACATTTTGTTACCCATTTCGGTTATTTTGTCATGAATGATGAAAAACCCATCTTTTCTCTCTCAACATTGTTATCCATTTCGATTGCTTTGTCATAAATGGTTTCCCTATCTTTGTGTTGCTCTCTCTCTCTCTCTCTCTCTAACAAATGCAAGAAGGACAGAGAAAGAAAGTGAAAGTAGTAGTAGTAGTAGTAGTAGTAGAAGTAGAAGGTGTACCTTTCCTCCTCAACTGAAGCAGTCATAACTCAAAGCAAACTGGAACGAATTCCAATTCCAATTGATATGGGAGTCTGTAGACTCTACTCCCCGGCACACCTATGCTTTTCTTGTTAGACAGAAACTGCTTTTTTTTTAAGTCGGAATCAGCTTTTTCCAATTTTTTAGCTTTTGATTTTTCAGAAGAAAATTACCGTAAATATGTTAATTGAAAATGATAAAAAGAAGCGGAAAAAAAAAAAAAAAATCCTTCAAAAAATCGAGTTTTAGATTGTTTTTGGTATGTTGATTAACTTTTTAATTTTTTAATTTTTTTAATTTTTTTTTTACTATTTTAGTATGAGACTAAAAAATCTTATTTTGGATAAGTTTTTTAATTTTTTTTTACTTTTACAAGAAAAAAAATAAAATAATTATGATTTAAATATGACATTTTATTTTATTAATTTTAATCTATTTTACATTTTGATGACCTTTTAAACCAAAAAATTTATAATAAACGTATCCTGAACCAAACGAAATACTGTGCCCATATAATTCTTTATATTCGGAGAAATTCTAATAAACACACTTTGTGAAAGGGGTGCATCATATTATACCATTTCCTTCTTAATTGTGACCATTTTTTTTTAGTTATAATATTGTTTTAATTATGATTAATGGTATCTTTAATTATGGTTCATGTTTTGTTTGGTTATGACATTTTTTTAATTTTTTTAGTTATAACTCAGAAAATATAAAATTATACAATTTTCTTCTTTAATTATAATGTGCCTATAATACACACTTTTTAAGAAGTGTACCATAATGTTTCCCTTATATTCGGTCAATTTAATTTTTATATGAATAAACTACTAATACGTTTTATCAGATAAACAGTTTAAATTATAAAATTAAATTTAAAATAATTTTCAAAATCACAAAGGTCCATGGCCCTTTACTGGCCAAGAAGATAAGGTAAGTATTTTGTTAGAGATCCTCCACTGTAGAAGAGAGATTGTATTAAAAATAAAAAATAAAAAAGTGAAATTGTATTTCAATAGAGTAGTGAAAAAATAATTACAATTTCATAACAATGCAACTCTCCTGTTCGTATGTATAGTGCAAATTCATTCTTGTGCTCGGTGCAATTCTTCTTGTATGTCAGAGTTGCACCCAAAAAAAAATTCATTTATAATGTAATTTTTTTCCTACATGTATTTGCAATTTCACTGAAAAACAAATAGGCATACTTCTTTTTGCAAAGATCAAACTCTATTTATAGTTCTCTTGTCCACCAAATTGCACAAACCCTAGCTACCAACTAGCTAGGGTTCTTTTCAAGCCCAATTCCCATAGAATTTTTATCTCCATCCTTCTCTATTCTTATTTTTATTGTTTTATACTTTGGTTTTCTCGTTTTGGTTTTCAAAAATTCTTATTTTTATTGTTTTCTACTTTGGTTTTTCTTGTTTTAGTTTTCAAAAATCGCAGTTTGTGAGTGTGATGATTTGCATGACCCGAGATTTTTCTTGTTTTGGTTTTCAAAAATCACAGTTTGTGAGTGTGATGATTTGCATGACCCGAGACAACGCAACAAAGCACAGCTAATTATCGATCCACCTGATATGGATGATGAACTTACATTGTCACATTAAGTTTTGATACCTCTCAATTGAAATGGGTAACTATTATTATATTTTAATAATAAATAATGATAAAATGTTATATTAAACTTCAACACATCGTTTAATTTTTAAATTAAATTTTAGAATAAATTATAAATACATTTCTTAAAATTTGATTAAAATACGAATCGCTCCTTTACATTCTATTTTCTGAGGTTTCTAATTTCATAACAAATCGCTCATTTTATTAATAAATTATCAAATCAATTAACAATTTTAATGATGTTAAAAATATGTTTCAATTAATAATTTAGGTAATTTTATTATTGTATTTTTTTATGAATTTTATTTTTTTTAATTAATTCTGTTAAATAAAAAATACTAACAATGAAGTATTTGTAATTTTTCAAATCACATGAAATAATTTGTACTTTAAACAAACCTCAAGAGGTGTATTTGTAATTTACCCTAAATTTTAATAACACAACTTACTACTTGAAGAGTCTGAAAAGTGGTTGCGGTCACCATAACAGTGGCGGTAACGCAGTTGCAGGGTGTAAAGGTCATAACGTAACAATTGCGATAACCGGAACCGTGAATTTTTTTTATTTTTCGCACAATTTAAAAAAAACTTACCGATACGCATATTTTTTTTCCCATGACCATATTTATTGGTTTTAAAATAAATATTGATCAATTTTTGTAAATTCTTAAATTTAATCTAATATATTTTATATTTTTAAATCACTATAAATTGAATTTTTTACATTTTATTTTAATAATTAATGACTTTATATTATATAAAAAATCAATCACTAACTATTATATATAAGATAAACAATGATAAAAGTAAGAGAATAAATAAGAACCTAAATATATATATATATATACATATTTTAACCAAACTAAATAGATAATGACCATAATTATTATTATTATTATTTTCAAACGATATATAGATAGACACACATAAACAAAATGGTTGAATGATAAGACTAAATAGAATAGCATAGGTGTTACAATTTCAACAAATCAATAACATATTTTTCATCTTTTCTTTTCTCTCTCTCTATCTCTTGCTCCTCTATCTTCTCTCTTCATCTTCCATCTTCTCTTTATCCCTCTTCTCCCATTTTCAATTTTTTTTTGTGTGTTTTTTTGAAAGAAACAGTTCGAAATCGTTACGTAATGGTATGTAACAGGTGATTACAACTGTTTCAGCACCGTTACGATCGTCACGGCAACCGCTACGACCGACACACCTGTAAATCTCAATCACACTACAAAAGTAGTCGTAACCGGTGGTTATAATCATCACAACTGTTACATAACGACATTGCGTAATAATTGCGACCACTTTTTAAAATCTTGACTTGACCTAACTTGTTTACCGTCCTACCCAAACATGCTCATCCATGGCGCATAACAGCTGGAAGAAGTAACCTACACATATTTCTCGGAGTTACAATGTATTCATGTAACATTGTTTACCAATAACTATTCAGTTAACAGGGTATACAACAGCTAAACATACTTCTCATGTCACAGTGAGAACCATTTCAAAACACACACACTCTCTCTCTCTCTCTCTCTCTCTATATATATATATATATAAGTAGCAATCCCATAATGAAGAACAGAAGACGAGCCTCATGAATAATGAAGAACAGAAGATGACTCCAGTCATGTTCCTGCCTTCCGACGCCCAACACGAGCAACAAAACCAGCCTTGATTGGAGCTACAGACCGCCCAGAGCCACACTGCAAGAGAATGTTAATAATATGTTAAAATAAACCTACTGTCAAATTCGTCTAACCAGTACGATAATTATTTATCACTAGAATGAACATTCACAAGGTTCAAACAAATTAACCACTGACAGATAATTCAGGGAAAAAAAATAGCATAAAAATCTCCAAAAAGTTGGCTTGAAAGTTTTAGAGGTTTTTTTTTCCCTTCACAAAGTGACTACAGAAATTAGATTGTGAATGCAAAAATAATGTATGGCCTCAGATGCTTTAGTTATCTACTTCATTTTAATTGTCATGTTTAATTTGTTTTCAATTCATTGACATCTAAATAATTTCAGAAACACAATCCCAAGCATCCAGTTGCATACCCAATGGCCACAATTAGACTATGGACTCATTTAAACTTCTAAAGCAATTTGTTTTCAGATTTTGCTTTATTCTCTATTGTGTCTGCAATTTGATTCATTGTCCAGGTCCAATCCAGCTGTGTCTAGATTACATCCCAGTGCATGTTTGGATATTTACACAAGGATAAGGTTGGTTTACCTGCTCACATCTGAGAAAGAAGAGACGATTCTCTTTGGAAAGAATCGTATCTGGACTTTTGCAGCCATTGCATATGACATACTCATCTGCAATCACAAAGTAATGTCATGAGAGAATCCGAAAGAGCTGAAACAAAACAGAAAAAAATGTGCAAAAAATTTGCATGAATGGCAAGTCCAGCAGCCCAAAGTATTCAGGCCCATCATGAAAATCTGAAGGCCAGACAAGGTTTCTTAAGTTGCTGACTAAGTTTCGTAAACGTCTTAACTGCCTATTTTCAACTGATAAAACAAGAAACTTACTGATGTATCTACGCAGAATCCCTTCAAAGTTTTTAGGAGCAAATCTACCCTTAACAACTAATCTCTGCTGCCCATCAAGAGATCCACTTGTTCCCATTTCAGCGAGTAAGAATGTCATGACATGCTCTGGCTGCCTATGCATCCTGAAATGGACAAAAGTTAAGGAACAAATACGGCAGGAGAGAGACTCAGTTTCAATTTACATACCTAGAGTGTTTCGCATAGTAGTTCATACCATGGCTTCAAAAGTTCAGAACACCTTTTTCGCAAAACTATAACAAAACATTGGGATCACTGAGGATACTTCCCCAAAAACTAACTTTGGCATGTTAAAGGGAAAGAACACAAGATGATAAAAATACAAACTGCAGAAGTTCTTGATTTGAAAATACTAACAAATACTACACGCTCGAGTTCATGTATACTTCAAAAATTTGCAAGGCAGGCAACATTATGCATGAAATAAGATAAATTTGCAATTTAAAATTAATAGATATAAATGCACAAAGTGCAAGTAGTGCCTAAAGAAACGTTAAATTTAAGATGGGAAATTGACATGTAGCAATTATCTCTCTCAGCACCAGCACTCTACAATTTCAAAGACTTCTCACAAAAAGAGCAAATCAGACAGAAATTTATTTATTATCCACCCAAAAAAGACAGAAATTTATTTTATTTTATAATTTGTTTTATGATAAATGCAAACCCAACAAAATCTAAACATACGTCTTGCACAGATCCATAAAATTCGCAAAGACTGTCTTCTTGGTGCCCTCTCGAAGAACTTGTGGTGGCCTCATAACAGTTCTACGCCTGTCCCCAGCAAGCTCTGGATTATTCTCCCGGAGGATATTGAACACTCTGCTTAGGAGCTGCATACACGTGAAGTTCATACAATACATTAATTCAAAGGGGATGAAAGAATATTAAAATCATAAGAACAAAAAACATACCTCCTCGTAATCATAATCTCGGTCACTTCCTTCCCACGGATACCGTGATTGCAAGACAATTCCTTCCCCTTCTTTATCCTCACCTACACAATTTAGAGGATGAAAAATAAGGTTATTTCTAGAACAATGTCTGACACAATTTAAGTAGAATAATATGCTATAAACACGTGACCTTAGCTACCTGGTCAATTAAGGTATAAGAGTTGAAATTTATTACCATCGAGATCCTCTACTTCATCAACATTCTCATCATTCAAGGCATCGGTTTCTATCTGCAAGGATGCAGTGTCAAGTTCTTAGCAAATAAAAAACTGTTATTTTTGTGCTTGAGTTGTGAGCTTCATAACTTACTGGTTTCTTCTTCTTCTTTTTCAAACCAATGAATGCATTTTCCCCTCCCTCATGAACTGCACGAGAAGAACAAATAAATACTCCATTAAACATTAGTGCAATAACATGTACTAACATGGCTGGGTAATTTTCTAAGGATGATTGTCTAGACATACACACAAACAAAATAGAGAAGACATAAATATTGAGAAGTTTGGACATGCAATCTTGCAAGTCATCTCTTATACGTACTTGACAAGTTTTCTGTTTTCTCAGCTAATTTGTCAGTGGTATCATCCACAACATCCTGGATGACTGGCTTCTTTTTTTTCTTCTTCTTAGTAGCATCAAATGGTGCAATCTGAAGAAGAATAATTCACAATAGAAAGTGAAAATTTAAGAAGGCGAAGTGTTTAGGATAACCAAACCAAATTCAACCTATGTTACATGGACTCGTCACTTTGGGGCGAAGTACCCGTGTCGACACGACACGACACGGGTGCGGGTGTGAGATCTGTGTCGGATTCACCTCATCTCTCTCGGACACGGCATTTTACAGACAGCAAAGAAATGGAAGAGGAGAAAGGAAGAAAACCTGGTCACTGGTCACTGTTGGCTTCGATCATCGATCACGATTAGGGCTCTCACTATTGATCACGATCGTCTTCGTCTAGGGCTTCGATCTCTTAGTAGCATCAAATGGTGCAATCTGAAGAAGAATAATTCACAATAGAAAGTGAAAATTTAAGAAGGCGAAGTGTTTAGGATAACCAAACCAAATTCAACAACAAAAATAGAAGGCAAACATCATGCTAGCCTTTTAGCCTCCTTCATGGCTATAAGGGCTTTCAAATCTTTCAACAGGTAAAACTAGGTTCATACATATATTTCACCAGAAGTTCCGCCAGTGAAGATAACAGGCCATAAGCAGGCTCTGTGACTAAATTTGTGTGTTCTATAAACATGGTCTGATGACCGGATGAGTTGTCAGAGCATTTATGGAAGTCATCACAATTATGATAATCATCGCTGATGGTATAAGTAGCAGTACCAAAAATACAAATAAAGATGTCAAGTTAGTTAATTTTACTAATGGTTCATTAGTAAATAAAACTCGGAAACAACCTCTAATAATATTAAAAATAATACCAGTTATTGCCTAGAGCAAGAAGTACTGATTAGAAAGTAAAACAAATTGTATTAATGGGAAAAGCTTAATCTCATTATGCAAATCTCAAGAGTGCATGAGGTGCATGCCTATGTCCTCACCGTTTATAGACATTAAACTCATAAACTAACCAAAATTAGGATTCTTAGCTGACATTTTCAGTGAAACATTTTGGTGAACCTGTTGTTTTGGAAAAAAACACATTCTACAAAACTCTAGTCTCTAACTACATTCTACAAAACTCTAGTCTCCAACTACATACATGTTAGAGACATCAAAAAAAAAAAAAACTACATATGTTGGAAACTAACTTCTATATCATTTGACTAGAAATTGTAAAACTAACAACCAAATTTGATTACAGCATTTGGGAATTTAGGAGAGAAAAGAAAAAAAATGATAAGTTAAGTTGGAATAGAAAATATTGCGTTTTCTCTCCCTCTTGTTTGGATAAGTAGAACAGAAAAACTAGTAATGATTTCTCTTATATCTTGTTCAGTTAGACTAACTAAAAGAAAATAAAGTGTCTTGTGTTATTTTACCGAGTAAACCTTTACTAACATCATTTTTTTTTGGATAGACAATTTTGATATCATAAAAATTTACTATCATGTTAGTTCCTTGAGATTCAAAAAATAAATTTTCAAGAAAAAAAAATGTTTCTTTCTATTTCTTCTAATTCACCCCATTTCTCTAATAATCCAAACAAGTAATTAGGGCGAAGAGATTTCGATTTCTTTTCTTTTCTGTCCAAATCACCCAATCCAAACGGACAGTAAGTACAACAAAAATCAAGTTTGGGGTTGATTATATATATTATTTAGTATCTTCCAAGGATTATATATAGTTATTCTATACTCTTTCTAAAAATTCATTGTAATGTGAACTTGTTTTCAACATTCATTTCATATACACTAAAGCACAGTCTCGTTATTGACAACAGATACAAAAGCATAACCAAGCAAACCGAGAGAGAGAGAGAGAGAGAGAGGAACGAAGATACATACCAGAATACATACAAGAAGCATACATATATACAGATATATAGATACATTTCTGAAACAGTAGAGAGACTCACGTCAGGCAAATCCTCATCTCCTGCCATGGTTGATCTCGAAATCTGCACCCCTAAACCAAAAGAAAATTTGACAAAAGCAAAATTGAAAACCCTCCTCCATGATCGAAAACTCAATTGTTCAAAACCCTAGACGATGTTCCAAAAAATATCACCTGATTTTGATTGATTTTTTAAAATTTTAATTTTTAAATTTTGATTATCTTTTATTTTTAATAAATATAATTTAAATATATAATTTCACATATCTAATTTTTTACATAAATATTTTATTAAATTTTAAAAATCAATTTACATTATTAAAATAGATATTAAAATGAACGTACCAAATCCATATACTCTTGTAAGATTTTTGTATATTTAATTGCATATTTACAAACTACACAACGATTTATATAGCATTGAGACAAATGTTACAAAAAGGAAATAGAATCCCTATACAATCAAATGGATATCAAACATGTCTAATATAAATATATAGAGCATAGATACGAATATATTCTTACATCTCTGCTCAAACTTAAAGTGTATTAGCAAAAAACAGTAAGAGTTTGTCTTGAAGAAACTAAAATCGAAACTGAGTAGAGGTGTGAGTCTTTGTAAAAAAATAGCAAGCTGTAACAACAAAGTGACAAATGGAAGTGAGATAGAGCTAGACTACAAATACTAACAAACAAAGTGACAATCAATCTCAATGTGTTTCATCCGTTCATGAAAGACAGTGTTATGGACAATCTGAATAACACTACAAAGAGGTCGAGGAAGACTGAGAGACACCCAAATCAGACAAGAGACAATGAAGCCAGACAACTTCAGCAGTAGTACGAGCCATATCACGGTACTCAATTTTGGCAGTTGAACGGGCAACAATAGTTTGTTTTTTATTTTTCCAATAAATCAAGGCATTGCCAAGAAACTTAGAGAAACCAAAAGTGGACTTATGATCAATAAAATCACCATCCTAATCAGTACCAGCATTAGTCACTAAATCCATGGATGAAGTATAAGACAACAGTAAACCTTGGAAGATAGTACCACGAAGATAACGAAGAATCTGAAGTAAAGCAGTCCAATGGATAGAATGAGGAGTAGAAATGAACTGGCTAATCACATGAACAACATAGGTAAGATTAGGGCGAGTAACTGTTAGATAGATTAAGCAATCCACAAGCTCTCGATATAAAGTAGAATCAGCTATAGGGATACCATCAGTAGTGTTGAATTTCACATTAAGCTTAATGGGGGTATCATAAATCTTAGTGTCAGTAAGACCGGCACGGTGAATAACCTCATTGGCATACTTGGCCTGAGACAAAAAGTAGCCATTGGGAGAAGAAGCCACCTCAATATCAAGAAAATACTGCAATGGTCTTAGATCCTTCATTTCGAAAGTGCAAAAGAGATGTTGTTTGACCTCAGAGATAGTAGAAGAATCAGAGCCAGTGATGATCATATCATCCACATACAATAATAAGGCAACAAAACCAGCAGAAGTGTGGAGGAGAAACAAGGTAGAGTCGTGGGCACAAGGATGAAACCCAAGCTCAATAACAGCTGTCTGAAAGTGATCATACCAAGTACGAGAAGATTGCTTCAAACCATACAGAGCACGCCGAAGACAATAAACCTGCCAGGGAAATAGTGAAGGCCAGAGGGGGATGCATATACACCTTTTCAGTGAGATGGCTATTAAGAAAAGCATTCTTTAACATCCATCTGATAAATAGGTCAATACCAAACAGCAGCAACAGAGATCAAAGTACGGACAATAGTCATCTTGGCAACAGAGGCAAAAGTCTCCTTATAATCAATACCATACTCTCGTGAAAAACCTTTGGCAATCAGACGAACTTTGTAGCGCTCGAGAGAACCATCAGAATGAGTCTTGACTTTATAGACACATTTGCAACCAATCAGATTCTTGCCAATAGGTAGAGAAACTAACTCTCAAGTAGTAATATTCTGCAAAGCAGACAACTCATCCTTCATAACTTAAATCCAATTAGGATCTTGACAGGTCTCCTTGTAAGACTGAGGTTCTGAAAAAGAGTTAATAGCAGACAAAAATGTATAGTATGAAAGAGAAAAATATGTTTTAGCAAAACCAAATTTGATTACCTATTTACAAATACGAAAGATATACTTACGGTTAGCAAGAATAGAGTCAATAGAGACAACTGGTTGAGGGAGAGCCTTGCGACGAGAATAGACTAACACTGGAGGAGGATGAGAAGGAGCAAACGGGAGAGAAGGTGGAGATGATGGAATATACTCATGGGGGACAGTGGAGAAGGACTGAGTATGAGATGTAGGATGAGAAAAATGAACAAGGTCATGGAGAACAGTAGAGATATACTCATCAAAAAGGACCTCAGAAGGAAATGGATCAAGGTAAACCAAATCCTCTTGAGAAACCGAAGTAGTGAGAGGATGAAGCTGAAAATAAGTTAAACGTTCCAGGAATGCAACATGGCGGAAGACATAAAAGGGACGGAAAATAGGATCATAACATCGATAGCCTTTTTGAGTAAGATTGTAATCCAAAAAGACACACAGGATAAACCGAGCACTAAGTTTTGTCCTTTTTTTCTAGAGAAAATAGACAAAACATTGTAGACACCCCATTTTTGACCGACTTTAAGACTCAGACGTCATCGATTGAGCGCTCGGTGATGGTGCATGTTGTGCTTGTTTCGAATCTTCGGAGTTTTGGCTGAGAGCCTTGCCTCCGGGCCTCTGAACTCTATTGTGCTTCGGCTCGGTTTGTGGACCGAATCTTGTTTTCTCTTCCCGGAGGGAGAGAGAGGTCTTGTAGACCATCTCTTTGTGGTCATAGACCACTTTTTCCGTTTGGAGACTAATTTTCGATTTTTGGAGCCTTTGGCCGCGCGCCTTGTCTCGGGACCGCTTAACGTTCTCCATTTGGCGTGGTTTTTGAACCACACCTTGTTGCCTCTGCCTAGAGGAACACTGTGGTCCGGGAGACCATTTTTTTGGTTGCATACCACTTTTGGTGCTCGTCAGCTAGTTTTTAGGGCTTTCGGCCGCGTGCTTTGCCTCCCGATCTCTCGTCTTGCATCTATTTTGGTTTGTTTTTGGTACAAACCTTGTTTTCCTTGTTTGGAAGGTGGTACAAGGGTAAGAGATCAGTATTTCTCCTGGTCGACCACTTCTTCCTCTGCTAGCCAGTTTTCTGGTCGGACAACTGGCTTTCTTGGTCTTTGGGGCATCTTTTCTGGTCGGTCACCACACCACTGCATTGTTTTCATGCCCTGGACTCTTTCCCCTCTTTCCCACCATGGCCGACCAATTTTTGCTCTCAGAGACCACTTGAAGTGGTCGGCTGACCACTTTAAGTAGCAGGTCGATCACTTGAAGTGGTCGGCTGCTTTTTGACACCGTTTTGGAGATATTTTCCTCCAGCTGGCACAGCTGGAGGACATTAGAGCCATCCTCCATACACGTGTATGGAGGGATGCCTTGGTGCTTAGCTTCTCCTAGAAGCTTTGCCTTTCCTCTTCTATAAGAGGGAGGCTCCTCCTCCCTCCTTTAGGTTCAAAGAAAAACTCCCTTGAGTTATACATATAGCCTATATCTATACTTCATCATTTTGCTCTTGTTTTGTGTTCAAAAGTGTAGTTTTGCCTTGCTTTTCACACAAACACACACTCAAACACCATCCTTTTGCTATTGAGGTGCTTAGGAGCTGGTTCTGGTATTCTTGGGTTGCTTTGAGCTTGAAAAATTTGCTGGAGTTGTAGCTTTAAAGAAGGTCTTCAAGGGTGAGTTTTTGACCTTTAAAACCCCCATTTTTGCTTAAGCTTTTGGCCCTTTTTGAATACTTTTTTAAGCTTAACTTCCTACTACAAAAAGTTCTGTTTTTGCATACTTAAAATAGTTGTTTAATGTCACTTTTTCATTTGGGGTGATTTACCCCCTTTTAGGCCTTGTTAGGCCTTGTTTTGAGCCATCCCTTTAGGCTCTTGGTGAAGCCTTTGCATGACCTTTCTACCACTGAAATCCAGAGGATTTTCAGTGGTGGAAAGGTGATTTTGGTGTCCTAAATAGGAGAGGGTCATCCCTTCTCATTGTATTGTGTATACTAGCTTCATAGGCCTTATGTTTGAGCACCTTTGATAAGCTTGTGTTGGCTTGTTCTTAGCATGTATTTGTGTTTGTTTTGCTGAGGCATAACACTGTTTTTACTTGCTTTGGTCACGCCATGCATGGTTAATACACTTGTAGTGTAAATCGCACAAACTAGCTTTATGTGCTTCATGAAATAGCATGTCATTCTAGTTTGTTTTCTTTTCATTTCAGCATGTTTTTGGTGATATTTTTCCATGTCATGACTCTGTTTTGGTTTGGTTTGGTTGGCCCTTGCATGCTCCATACACTTGTAGTGTAGTTCCATGAAATAGCCTAACATGCATCATGTTGTAACATGTCATTTTAGCATGCTTTTGGCTTAGCTCTAAGAAGACTTTGTTCATGTTTTAGCATGTTTAAGGTCTGATTTATGTTGTATTGGCCATACATGACTTGCTTTGTATAGCTATGGTTCAACCTAGCTTGTTAGCTTTGTGTGTTGAGTCCTCTAGCATGCATTACTTGGACTATTTCAATGATTTAGCATCATTTATTATGTGATTTCAGTCCATGTTTTATGGCCATGCATTCAGATTTGTCACTTATTCAATACGTTGGAGGGTTGGCCCCTTTATGCCTTAACATGAATCATTGTGTATGCCTTCATGCCTAAGCTTACGCGCTATCATTTCAATGTGTTTTTGGGATTATTTTTCCATGATATAACTCTGATTTTTATTGGTTAAGTCATTTCATGCTTGGTCTTAATAGGTGTAGTGTAATCCACCTTATTTGCCTTGTATGCATCATGTCTTATACCCTCCATACTAGCCTATTTGGGCTTCTTTCCATGCATGCTTTAGACTCATTTTAACATGTTCTAGGACTGTTTTGGGTTGCCTTGGTCACATGCTTCATGTTTTGTATACTTGTAGTACAAATGCTCTTGCTTGCCTCAAGCTTTGAGCACCATTGCATGCTTCACTTGTGTTGTGTACATGATTTGGCATCACTTAACATGACATTTAAGAACATTTAGCATTGCCATGTTCCTACCTCAATCATGTTTTTAGTGC